GCAGGACAGACAAACCAAACATTAGCTCTAAATAGGGCCGTTTGCATTTTTCCGCAGCACTTGTGGTCACCATAGTTTCTCCTGAACACTTAGAAGGGGAGGGTGAAGTTAATTGCAATCCACAACTACACAGCTTGACGCCACTAAATCCTACACGCTGGTCCGTTAATGGAGTCAGAGGAAATGACTCTCAAAAAACAAGTTCAGCAAATTATCAAACGGCTTCTGCATAAACAGCTTTGTGTATTGTGTGTATTTAAGAGTCACAATGATGTTACCATCATGTTTACAGCTCAGAAACATGGCCTCAGCTGTAACTTTGACAGTTTCTACAGGGTTGTCTGTATTCCTCATTGAGCCTGGTGGCCACTAGCTAACATGTCAGCTTTAGGCCAGTATAATATTATTTCTACTAATAGTAATGACAATTCCACTTTCTATCAATGATTTTGCTTCACATAACCAGTATTTTTTTTTAAATATTGTATCAGGAACAACAAATGTCTGTAAATTAAATCTGTACAAATCAATGCTTTAATATTAACAAAGAACAAACAACTGTGTAATATGAAGTAGTGTACAGGTTTTTGTCACCAGACTCTTTCAGCTCTATGGAGCTTGTTAGTGTCGCTCAGCTCATTGTTTGGTTTTACAGCCTCAAACGTTACTGCTCAAGTTCACTCTCACAGCTTTCGTCAACCTTGTTTTCAGCGGCAGTGGGCATCAGCTGGCAACTTTATAATGTAATAATATGTCACATTTGTGTCAGCTTGTGTCAATACCCCCATATCCAAGAAGTCAATTCATGCTGCTTAATTTTCATAGACTGCTCCTTTATGTTTACAGTTACTTGGTTCAGCCATATCATGTACTCAGCTCCCCTGCTGACACCCACACACAATGCACGACTTCATCTGTAATCCACACAAAACCTGATACACAGTAAGCTTTTCTTTTAATATAATTCAGGAGCATTAGTACATTAATATCTACAGTGGATGTTTATATCACTGTATGTGTCTGATAGCAGCAGCGTCTGAGGTGTACCGATGTTAAAGTCACCTGAAAACTCTTTCAAACTCATTATGCAAATTGTGCAAAAATAGTCAACATACAGTATCATGGTAGCACATTACATTACACCACACACCCAAGGGTGTGTGCTCTGCCACATCTTGTTCTGCCAGTTAAATTACTTTAGGGACTAAAGCAATACTTTCTTTTTGCGGTCTGTTTAACCACATATATCCCTCATGTGAATCCATGCTAATGCACATCCTCTCCACAAAGCAGGCTCCATGTCTGTGGGGTCCATGCATTAAACATGGGGCAGTTGAAGGGAGAACACGTTGGAATACCAATAGTTTTACCGTGGAAAATCTGCCTAACCATGTTGTCGAACAAGGCCCCCCAAAACCATGATGGGAATCTTGTGGTTAAAAGAGAAAGTGCAGTCGGTGTCACTTGAGGCGTATTGTAATTCTAGTCTTTGTATTAAATTCAGAAGTACAGTAAATTAAAAACAGCATATGGAGACACTGGAACAATATTATGCAGATTCGGTCTCAGCAGAGAACAGAGACTTATTGGATTCCTCGGCTTAATTTCTGTCTTTTGATGCATATTCAATATTAGAGGCCAAAAAGGTTATGGAAAATGTTGACTGAGCATTTATGGTGAATGTCCCTAAAATTGGACGAGCAGAGCTGGATTAACCTGCCAAGGGGCTGAAAGGTTGGCATTATAGCAAAAGAAACACAAATAAAGATGGATTTAAGGGAATAGATAACCCCAAAATGAAAAATCAACTCAACTTCCATAACAATTGAAACTCCAGTGACATTCATCAAACCACCAAGCACACAGTCATCATCAGATGTCTCATGCATCATAAAACAATAACCAGCAAATGTCACAATGAGGTAAATATTAGAGTTTTGGACTTCCAGAGAACTCGTTGTGCTGTATAACTATTTCTATTCAGAGAACTACTCTTATAGTCACACTGTACTTTCATTCACAAGACTTAAGTGCTACATGACTTTGGCTATTAGTTAAAATGTAATTTCATTATGCATGTTATGTATGTCCTGAACAGTGAATACAAATTCTAACAGGGTTCTACAATTTAACAAGGTTAAGAGTGAAGCACTCCTTTGTGCACTAGCCAATCCTAAAATTAAATATGGAGCTTAATCTTGGATCAAATGTTAAAGGTTCCTGAATATGGTCTTGTGTTTTGTAATGTTATGTTCAATGTATCTTTGTTTCCTGTCCTAATGTATGTCTTTTCTGTGATGTTGAAAATGAAGCTGCTGTGAGGCGAGAACAAAATCAGGCTTGATCTGAAAATAAAGTATCATCATAATCATTAAAATGGCTCAGAACTGTTAACATGCTGAGAATCAATCATTAAAATAATTAGTGCTGCTTTATTTTTGGAGTGTGACTACAAACATCTTCTCATTTGCACAATCAGGTTTTAATCACTACTCTTCTGCCTCAAAACACTGGGAACCTTATTGGCTTCCTCCAGCAGAGGGTGCTGTGCACGCACACCGGTAATTACCATTTGAATGTGACCACATGTCTAATCCTCTCCACGTGGATTCAGACTACAGTGAGTCGGTAACTGTCCGGACTTTCCCAAGGTGTGCCAATTACAGGGAAATCTAAAGGTAAGTCATACAGGGAACAATAGTCTGTTGCCTGTGGAAAAAGTGTTTCCTGGTTCCTGTGTGCAGGAACATTCACCACATTTACAAGGTAATTCAGTGACAACATACAGAGGCACACAAACACAGATATTTTATCTTAAACGGACCAATTAGAAGTATCTGTCCTTTGTACAGTCACTGTTTTGTATTGGTCTTGCAGACCTACCCTTGACCCAAGAGAGGAGGAAGAAAGATTGTATGTTAGCTTATAGTATATGCACTTTATCTGCTTTCATGTTTTTGGTAATCACCTGTATTCGGATTAATATTAAGATAAGGAAAGGGGAAGTTCAAAGTAAAAACTGGGTTATTTCTTAGGTTTAGAGTCACTCAGCATTCCTTAAATAATTCCTAAACTGTAAACTTAGACAACAACCCCAATTTAAGCCTAAAGTTAACTTCTAACCCCATATCTGAACCTAAACTGTCCAACTCACTTGACCTAATTTCTCAACCCCAGGTGTAAATGTACTCACGAAAACAGAAGAACAAAGCTGTGTGTGTGTGTGTGTGTGTGTGTGTGTGTGTGTGCGTGTGCGCGCGCGCGCGTGTAGACCTTGAGCTGTCTGCCCTGATACCAGTGACAAACTGAGAGACAAACAGACGGGTGTCTGGTATCACTGAAACACTGGTTTTGCTGGAAACCAAACTGTGTTGGCTTATTACATCTGTTGTTTCATTTTGCATAATACCAAGTGCGGGGGGAGTTTGGGGTAAATCTCACTGAACTGACCAAAAGTCTCTTCCAAGTTTTGCTGATTCCCTAAAATAACCTTTTCTTAATTATGTATTTGTTATGCGTGAGCTTTTTCATAAGAAAACGTTATGTTTTTAAGACAATGTAGGCCTATTACATTCATACCTTCATCCACATTTCAAATTTGACTTTTTATAGTAATATAATGCTTCATCTAGTGCTCATGTCTAGGAAATTTAATTTAACACAGCAATAAACTTGTGACTGAACCTTTATATGTTACCATTTTACTGTGTGAAGAACCATTATTAAGAGGTTTACGACAGAAATCCTGGTGCTCTAAGCAGGACTAATTAGAAAAACGAATGCCCCTACAAAAGAAAAGCTTGCTCAATTAAATATGTTATATGAAATATGTTAACATTACTGCTCAGCTGACTCTGTTAGTTGACTTCATAACTTGGTACTGTTCTATTTTACTGGGCCATCATTTACTAATTATTTACAGAAGTATTCTAAAGAAATCTCTCTAAACAGGTGCTAATTATAAGTCAGCTAATTACAGTAACTTATAATATAATAGTCAGTGCACGAAAGGTTGGTTGCACATGCAGAAATGTGAAATTTGTCTACAGACCAGTGTACAATGTACAATAAGATTTAAATAATTTGTAAAATTGCTTTTTCTTTCAATGATAAAGCATTTATTCTGGTAATTAGTGCCAAAAGACAAACTTCTATCTAAGAAATCATCATGAAATTATTGATAAATAACTTTGCTCCTTATGTTATAGTTTAAGTGAAACTGTTACTTTCACTTGTCATGTGAACATCAACTTCTTTCTGAACCAAAATAAAATGCAATGCAAAAGAAGAGGAAGCAGTTCATATTTACTGTAAACACTCCCAATAGGTCACACCCCAACTGGTCAGTAAAAATCAGGAGACAGGTTTAGTCATCTCCATTTGAGCTGAATACACTTAGTATGATGTTATTAGCTATAATTACTCAGAGGCATGTGACTGACATTTACACCATCCAGCTGGACTCATCTGATTTGGCACCATGGGAGCGGAGCGAACATGAAACAATGACTGCTGCCATGTAAAGTGTGTCAACAACCTGTTGACGGAAAATACCCGCGGAATAAATATCCTGATTCCTTCCTGCACATGTGCTGTTGTGATTAATGGTTTCAAACAAAGCCAGCAGGACTTCCTAGAGGAAAGAAAAAGAGAGAAAGGGGGGTAAACACAGCTATGCAGAGACCGTCAGATCAAATTAAATACAGAAAAGAAGACTGAGAATAACTCCCATTTCCTATGCTGCTACATACGGAAAGGTTACAGAGCCTGTCAGGGGAAATTAAATTCCTAGCGTCCTTGAACGCAGCTAAATGCCACAGGGGAGCAGATTAGAAACATTACATCAAACACTATAAAGATATTTATAGCAATATCTAGATGGAGAAACATTTTTTTACTTGATAGTATTTAACCAACTGCTGGTGTTTTATTTCTTTGTAGCTTTGTAGGAGGAGAAGAAAGTGGAGGGGAGAGAAGGAAGGAGGGGAGATAAAAAGATGAATGCAGTGATGTCAGTCCGCCCCACTCCTATTCAGTAGAAATGCTGCAGAGCAGGGCTGAGCCTGCATACCACTGCTGCTGACGACTGACCTGATCCCACACACACACAAAGGCACACTCTTACACACCCTCACGTCACACACACTCATCATACCACACTCACAGAGGCGCTGGAGCTCAGAGCAGAGCTGGGAGATGCTACCGGCTGGCAACCACTGAGTGAGTCCACTTTCCCTCCTCTGTACTCTTCTTTCTTTCTCTCTCTGTCCTTTTGTTGTGATTGCCATTCTGCTGCCCCTTCTAAGTTCATTTATCTCTCACACTCTCTCCTCTGTCGCTGTGAAATGGCCAGTGTTTTCTCAGACTGAGAGACTTTTCAAACTTTTCTCTCAGTATGCCATGCACATACCTTTCTCGCCTCTCGCTGCCTTTCTTTCTTTTCTCTGCATGTGAGCGGAGACAGAAGCAAATCCCGGAGCTATTTGCATGTTGGCGCAGAGCCAGACCTGGATGCTTTGCTTTTATATTTGAATAACAGAGTTGAGCGTATGCTGATCCGCTATAGCGCTCATTTTGTCCTCGTCTGATTTCTGTTCTCTGAGGAGTCTGTGTGGGCTGTTATTGTCTGTGATTAGTTTACCATGTTTACATATTGATTTGAATATTTCTTTTGAGTTTCTCATGCATGAGTTCAAATGTGCACAGTTGTTACAGGAGCTGTTACGCAGGTTTAAGCTCAAAGGTGTGATTCTTTGATAGAATTGCCACTGAGTGGGCTGTTTGGTAGTAAATCTTCAAGTCAGGTCCAGTTTATTTGTATTGCTTTAATCACAGAGTCTTAAGGGGTTTCACAACTCCCTACATTATGAAACAATGAATGAAAACACACTCCCCTTCTGTCTTTAGACAATAGACACTCACATGGAAAGGAACGTGGTTCACAAAGACCTCACCCGTAAAACCGATTGAAAGAGACTTGTGAAGTGCTGTACAGAGTTGATGAATGAATGGATGCTGGTTCTAAGACTAATAATGCAACAAAGCTGTGTATACATTTAAAAATGAATGAAGTGAAACTACTGCAAGCTTAGAGTTTGCCTAGTTTTACTACTTGAATAATGAAATTAGTATCAGAAACAGAGAACCGGTTCCTGGTTCCCAGATTTATGAGCTTCTCCGTTTTTAACACCACAACATAATTCATTGTAAATATCTTTATAATGTGTTTCAAGCAAGATCAATGTTCTTTGCCTCCCTTAAAAGAATAGTTTGACATTTTACACACCAATCACATACTTTTACACATTGGTTTTTGTACAGATCAAACAAAACAAAGCTGTTTTTCAGTCTTTATTCACCTACTCCTGGCTGTATCTCTACATTTAGCACTCATGCACGAGATTGATGTCGATCTTATCATCAGACTTTAACTTTTCAAAGAAAACAAGCACAGAATCATGATTTGTTTGTTTTCTTGCCACCTTGCATTGTATTTAAAATTCTTTCACAAATTTGCATTCAGTCCCGCATCAGCTGTTATTTGTTTATTTGGGACAGAGCGTGTTAATGAACATCAGTATAAAAATACATGATGTAAGTATGCTTGAGTTAGCAAGAATGTAAATTTACATCCGTAGTCCTCAGGCAGGTAACAATAACAGAAACAATGACAAGGCAGAAAATAATAGTTTTAGGTTGAAACCATAGAATTTAAGTCTATTGTGGGGTTTAGTATAATTGTAATGTTTCGACATCTGCCACACCTGAAACACAAACTTAGAAGGTGATATATAATTTTTGGCAGTGTCTACAGCTTTTACTGTAATATCAGAGACCGTCCTCGAGTGAAGATTGGTGAACTGTTATCACAGACACAAACCCTATTGGCTCTCGCTCGGCAACTCACTGTGTCACATTTTTCAAAAGTGTGTGCGGGGCGGACACTGCTTCTATACTGTGTTTACACATAGATTAAGGCAAAGGTTGTTTTGTGGGGATCTTAACTTCCTGGATGAGTTATAACTAACTGGGGCACGCTGTTGATGTCTATCTGTGTCACGTGTGTTAATAGGGTAATAAAAATGGTGTGTTTGCTTGTGTGTGTGTGTGTGTGTGTGAGAGAGAGAGAGAGAGAGAGAGAGTGTTAATGCAAAAATTCAAGTGAACTATAAGCTGTCTTTTGCTCTCTATCTGTGTCTGTTACCCCAAGATAGCATGCAGTCATTAACGCCCCGTATGTGTGTTTGTGTGTGTTGACATACTGAACCTGCCCCTGTTTGCCTCTGTCAGTATTTAAAAGCACAACAGCATTCTCGCTGTCTACTGTATGCAGAGTAAACACTGCATGCACACACACACACACACACACACGCATCAACTCACACACACTACATTTGTGGCTTATTTGCTTTGGGCCTATTGTGTTCTGCCAGCCTGAACAGGATTGAATGGACGGGAACAAAACAATACAGTAGATATAATCTCTCTCTCTCTCTCTCTCTCTCTCTCTCTCTCTCTCTCTCTCTCTCTCTCTCTCTCTGTGTAAAAACCACAACAGCAACCTTCAGAGCTCAGTTGATCCGGACACACAGTGCCTTCACCCCCAGAGAGCCTGACACACTCCTACTGCACCGACGAGGAGCTCTCGACAAAGGACACTACGGTGACCTCCAGTAGTTAGACTGCACCTGATCCCGCATTCTTCAAAGAAAAGGGAACCTGACTCTGGAGCAGGAAAAAGGAGCGATCATACCCCACCTGCTGAAACACGACCCACTGGACGGAGAGACAGAGGGGCTGACGGTCATCTCTGGCACTCGGGGAATAGAGGCAAGATGCTGGCTAAAATCCTTGAGGACATGTGGGTGGAGCCCGAGGTGCTGGAGGCCCTCAGCGAGGAGCAGAAGAGGATCCTCTTCTTGAAGATGAGAGAGGAACAGGTTCGCCGCTGGAGAGAGCGGGAGGAGAAGGACGAGAAGGAAGGAAGAGACAACATGGACACAAGGCCAAAGAAAGGTAGAGTGAGATCCTTACTGCACTGGTTACACTGGTGGGAAGTACCAGTGCATAGGGAACACATGCGTCTCATTCCATTACACAAGTATGATTGCCCGTAAAGCAAAAGAGGAAAACACTGAATAAAGTAGCAATGTATTTTTATAGAAGGGAGGAACAGTATTTCTGGGAAATGCCTTCATTTCAACAGTAACATGACTCACAATGAGGTTAAAACTAATAGCTTCTTTAACTTATTCCTTTACAGTAAAGCACCAGGATGTCACAGCGCATTTTACATTGATCAATGACAGAATTATGACATTTACAGTTATCTGTACGTTGAATCAGACGTTTCTTCAAGATGCAAATATCTTGCTAGGTTTAAATTTATATTAGAAGACTAAGACCACCGATAAGCCTACATCCTACAGCTGATTAGCTTAGCTTTAGCATAAAGACTTAATACAAGGGGGGACAGCTAGTTTACCACCTACCAGCTTACCTTTGACGCTCATAAATTAATATGTTTTATCTGGTTTATTTAATTTGCACACAAACCAAAGTTTAAGAACAATAAATTGCAGTTTATTGGGGGTTATTTGCCTAAGTACTTGCCTGATTGCTTTGATGGGTGCAGTTACTTCCTGCCTTCATACTTATCGTACAAATATCAGAGCGGTAAAAATCTTCTGATCTGCCTCTCGACAAGAAGGCAAATAAGCACATTTCCCAAAATGCGGAACAATTTTTCTATCTTTGTTCACCTCCCACCAACGTCCCTGTCATGTCCTCACTGTTTTGTCTGGACATTTGGGGGTTTATGTGACCTAAGGAGTTTATATATGTGGTAGGTTTTGATTGCTGATTCTTTCAAGAGCTTTCAATTGAATTATTTGATTGCTGACAATCAATACAATAGTTTTTCTCCCCCTGAGAATGAATTGCCGGTATTGAAGAGACACTGAATCAGCATTAAGGGAGATCACGTTTGCAGGGAATATAATTTAACAGTTAAATAAATGAAAAAGATAAAAAGAAAATCTTTTGGAATTAAAAATTCTGATTTTGGTTGCTAGTCACAATTTCTTCTGGCGGTGGGATGCAGCTGGAGGGATTTGGATTCATGATTTATTGTTTAAATCCTGGTCCTGTTTAGTCCTCATACCCAAATGCTGCAGACATTTTTAAACAATCTATAAGGAGAGTGTGCTCCCTCTGCAGCTATAGCTTTCATATTGTCAATCACTATGTATTTCTAGGAGCTGCAAACAAACAAACACATTTACTATAGTTTATTACACATATTTCAGATTCTGCTAAATTGCACATTCATTCCCTTTTACAACTAATTAATGACCAGGATTCTTGAGTGCACACGATACACAAGCTGTGTAGTAACACCCTCTCCGGTTACCAATCTGATTAATGTGTTTAAACTACACCCAAAGTAATCTTTTCACTGCCCTACCTGTCTGTCTTACTCATTTCACCCACTCTTCCTCCATATATACGGTGTTTATCTGAAACCGCATCACCTCCACTGGCTGTGCCGCACAATGTGTGTTTGTGTGACAGACAGACTCTATCACTGCCAGTCGACTCATTCTACGGGGCTGAAAGCTGAATAAGATTGAGTAAGCCCTGCGGTTTGGGGCGTCGCCACACTTTAAAACCACATATTAAGTTACTGTCTTTGTTTACCCAATCTCTGCCGTGTCACCTGAGAGCCGACAGAGTGTGTGTTGCCTGCTTGTTTGCCTTATACAACATACAATCCAGTTAGGCGTCTTTCCTTCTTTGTTAACCATGCCACTGCCGGGAAAGACAATCATTACATGTACATGCAGGCCTATAAACGTCACATAAATACACAATTAGTTACCTGTGAACTAGGATTTCTATTATGTGCCGCATTTCTTTCTATTTGTGGGTGCGGTTCTGTAATGGAAATGTCTTGTAATCACAGTTATGAGATGAAGGTGTGTTGCACAGACTAACCGTGACTTATGTCAAAGATGGTCTTTGGTCAGGTGACATCAGACTGAGACGTCCACACAATATACCCTTATGTACTGAGTGGCTGCACACAAACACAAGGCATTCCCTAAAATCTGAACAGCAACAGAGCTGCCTTTGTTTGTTTTCTAAGAAATCTGTACAGTCACTTCGCTGTTAGGAGGTGCTTGTTTCAACAAGCTCCTACAGTATCTGTTCGTCGTGCCTGCTGTATCTTTTGAAGGGTAAATCTGCAGAAAGCATGCTGCGGTAAAGCTCTCTGAGGATTTGAATTTTCAAGCCACACCCCAAACGGTGATGTCATGGCAGGTGTTACACCTTTATCAGGTCTTGTCATGGAAAACACCTGTTATCACACACTGGTGGGGAGTGGGGTTATTTTTGGTTACTGTCTCATGATGAGGTAACCACTAAAAATACCCTTTTTTTCCAGGGTGCAAATGTAATGGAATAATAGTGTCGTGTGTGGAATGTATTAACGACAACAAAAACAATAGAATCTATTATAGTACTACATTATTATGCATTTATAATACTTATACGTATGAATGTATGTTGTTATTGGTATAATTTATTATAAAAGGAGAGTTTTGCCCTCATTTAAGCTGATGCGGTGTGTGACAAAAGTAAACATTGGCACAATAAGATGTCGGTTGTTTCCAGTTCAAACCTTAGTGTGAGTTTCTGGTAAACTGCCCCGGGTCAGTTTCATGCAGACCTTCCTGCTCTCACAAACAAGGAATGAGGTCACCGTTATTTACTATTTTAATGATCACAAACTTGTTTAAACATGATTTATCAATATTCGGCTATTAATAATGTTTTGCAGTGAGATACAATTAATTTACTCCAGTGGAAAGACAGAGAAAAAGATGAAGAGATAAAGAAAAAAACAATGAGAGAGAGAGAGAGCCCACATGGGGAACAGTTCAACAGTGAGAGAGGACAAACCTCATTGCTGTTTTCCGAACTCTCTAGTTATAGGACAGCACCACCTTCTGGATAAAAGCCAGAATAACAATTTGTGAGATGGCTGCTTTTATCAGAATCTTGCCAAAACACTCTGAGATGAAAACATACAGATGGGTCACAATTTAAAGGCAAAACCAACTCAAACCTCCCAGTCATTATTCCATTCTCTGCTCTCCCATAGGGGTTCAAATGATTAACATTTTCATTCTCATCGGACCATTCAATTGCCCCTCGTGTCCTGTATGAAAGCATCTGCATTTGTCATGTTTCTCCACTCATTAATTCACGCGTTTTCCTTGTTGATGTTTTTATTTATTTATTATTGTATGTTTTCCCTCCAGTTTACAACAAACATGTGAGCTGGCTGCTCGGTCGGGATGGAGATGTGAGCGTCAGTGTGATTGGAGAGGTCGACGAGTTCAGATCCTCCAAGCTCCTGCAGAGCCTCATGAACAACAGGTACCACACTGATTGACTGATTTTAGCTGATTGACTGATTTTAGCTCTTTTGGCATTGACGTAAATGTGATTAGGAAGTAAGAAAAGCAGACTCAGTTGTTATTGTAGAAGTCAAGCAACTGCTTTAAAGAGAAAAAGGTGAATTCAATGTATGAATTAATGTAGAACATGACATTCACAAAAAGTGCAAAACATTAGACAGGAAATAAAATGAATTATCTCCACCATTTCCACCCATCACATGTTGGTAACATGGGTTTCAGAGAAAATCTCATTCATGTGGTTTCATTTGATACATTTTTCCAAAATAATTTGATGGAAGCAACAAAGTCAGAATATGCAAATCCGTTACATTTTACCAAAAACAGAACAAAAAAAAGACTATTTCATGTGTTGCATCTAGTAAATAATTAAGTTTAACTGTTTTTTTGTTATTTTAACATAACATTAAAAATATTTTTATTTTCTTTGAGCGACGGCAGTTTTGTCAAGTAGCTCATCCACCACATAAGAACATCTGCATAGGTTTCTGCCACCTTAACAAACCTTCAGTGTCTTCAACCAATTACATAACTCTGATATGATGAACAGCAGTGGAACTACAGAGTTTCAGTGAGCTTGCCGTCTCCCTTGTCCCAATTGGATTAGTTAAGTTATTTGCCATATGACTAACTGGAGGATTGGTTCAAAGGTTGGGACGGCTGTCTGTGGGACTAAAAATGAATGTCTTTGTCTTCCAGAGTCCGTAGTGATAATATGAATGGCATCCAGACAGCGGACTTGCTGCCAGGAAGAGAGGCCCAGCAGCTCGGCTTTAAAGAAGACATCCAGCTGTCTCTCGCAGATGTTAGCGTGAGTTTGTGTGTTTGTAATGTGGGTTTTGAAGTTGGGAGGGTTTTAGATGAACAATGACTCAAATTGTGTCCCACTTACGCACACAGGATGACCCAGCTTCACCAAACTGCCAGTCGTCTGAGGAGGACATGGACTCCTGCAGCGCTGATGACGACCTGAAGGACCCTGCAGAGGATAGCGACGGTGATTCAGGCAGCAGCACGGACAACCATGGCGACTGGGCTCCTCTCTACAGGCCACATCTTAGTAGCCATAGCAACCTGCCGCCGCTCAAAGCCCAGCTGTCAGACACAGAGAGGACTGGCCTGCAGGACAGAGGCGACAAAACAAGAGAGGAGGGAAGAGGTGAGAGAAAGCCCATTTATATGTTTGTAGATGTAGAAGTCTGTGATTCTCATTTATTGATCCTAAAGAGGTAGAAATTACAAAAAGCCCAGCCAAAGTAATAATCAGGTAAAATAAATTGATGTTCAAATTATAAGAATTAAGAACATCTACTATACAGTATACAAAATAAGGCATGAAAATGACTAAATACTGTATACACCAGCAATAGTGAATGTGTTCTTTATGCAGAACAGCCACTTTCATAGTGTTATAATATATATTTTATTATTTGATCATTGTTATGAATAGATTAACATGAAAACAGCATGTCATGTTGTTGCTGGTTGAGCTCATTTTAACTGTATTATACAGTTGGATGGTTTTAACAGATGACTTATCAGATGTTTTGTCTGTTAAATCTTCGATCTCCTAACTAAAAACTATAGCTGTCAAATAAATGTAGTCCATCCTGAGCCGATGTTAAAGGACTGTAATACTTAATGGGTGGAGCACTTTTTTAAAGGTCCAGTGTGTAACATTTAGGAGGATCTATTGGCAGAAAATGGAATATAATATCCGTAGGTTTTCATTAATGTATAATTACAGTACAGTAGTTTCTACAGTAGCCCAGAAAGGGAAAAGTTTTGCGGCCGCTGTAGTTTCTCCTTCGCACTTGGAACAGGAGTCCTAAGCACAAATTAGACTTCAGAGTTACTGTATCTATACCTGAATAAAACTACCCTGATGTAGGCTAACTTACTTGTACATCACACTTGAGCAGATTATATTTTATCATTCAGTCGCTGATGGAAAATCTAGGGAACATCTGAAGGTTTTGAATGTTTGGGTGGTGACTTGGATATTAATCCACTCTTTCCTTTCTTCCCCTCACAGAGATTGTGTGTTGTGAAGAGAAAAAGTCTGAACATGGAGGTCGCGTGGCGCAGCTCAGGAAGGCATTCACTGATGATCCACACAGCAAACCACCTGCCAACACCAAACCTATTTTACCTGCCAAACCTGCTCACCTACAGAAAAGAAGCACACCTTTGATCTACTAGGACCGAAGGTGTGTCCGCCCTGCTATGAGAAGCAGCGCCTTGTGTACGAGCGTAACGAGCTCTGTGCAGAAAATAATGGCTCAGTTCGACACTGTGGGGCCAGACTGAGGCCACATACGTGTGAAGAAAAGGATTCTTACTTGAACCCAGAGCGGTGAACTGAGATACACTTTGTTAGGCCTCGATTCAAGGACCTGTGTGCAGACAGAGAAACGTCTGGGGGGGGGTGGAGTGAGAGAAATACTTGAAAGCTTTTGAACTGAAGTCAACCTGAATGATAAAAATGAAGCAGCTTTGATGTTGCTGAGTTCAAATACGGTCACATAGTTTCTGTGATTGACAGGCAGACGCAGAAAAAGACGTCCGGAGAGACACAGACAGAAGACCACGGCTGGACACTTGTTCAATGAGTGTTAATGAAGTTTTATTATTCAGATGTCATAAGCAGAGGTTATTGGGAACTGAAACATTTATTTGATCAAACTCATATTCAGGTCTTTCTTTGCTGTTCAAAAGGTTTAAACAGTTTTCATTGTTGTCCATGTTACTGAACTGTTTTAACACCAGCGTTGACAACATCTTCATCTAATATATCAGCAACAATCAAAAGGTACAGGGGTTTGGGGGATATACTGTATATAATAAAAGGACTGAATTCATTTCATTTTTATCTAGTGCCTTTACCGTGAGGGTGGTTTTTATTAAATACATTTTATAATCCTTCATATTCATCTTTGAACACACACACACACACATTCATCGATCACTCTTCAGGAGCAGTTTGGGGTTTTTGTGTCTTGCTCAAGGAGACTTCAAAATGCTGTAAGGACGAAGTCAAAGCACCATATTCACAATAATTGGATAAGAAGCTCTATCGCCTGAGCTACTGTGACCCCATGTGTCCAAGCCAGGGGTCTCAAACCTACCACTGCTTGTATTTAAGGTATTTAACGGGAAATTATCTCCGTTTTCCACCAAAACCCGTTCGAGCTGGTGCCTGATTTCAAACCAGTTCTTTGCGTTTCAGCAGCCAAAGAACTGGCTCTTGGCCAGGAAAATTGGTTCCAGCGCGGCATGAACAGTTTGCTGGTGCCAAGAACCGCTTGCAACAGGGGCTTGGGGGCGCCTTGTGGCCAGCCAGCTATTTATTTTATTAGCTGTTTACCACTTTGAGCTATATGGCTAGCATAGCTACTACTACCAATATCTCACATCAGTGTTTCATTCGTAACATCAGTGTTACGAAGAAATGTTGTTTGTAACTTTAATGTTGCGTTCAAGGTTAGTAACATTGCTGTGAAAGATTTGTAGCTTGCTTGCATAACGGTAGCTAGTGAGCCAGCTAACATAACCTTGGTAACAGAAGTTGGAGACACATACAGTGGCTGTGTAGTCCAGTGGTCCCCAACCTGGGGGCCGGGACCCCCACTAGGGGTACAAATTGTATTAAAAGTTCCCTAAAAGCAGGAAATAATCTGCTCAAAATGTTACCAAATCACTCAGACAGGTTCACTATTTGGGTTCATTGTGCAGTTTATTATCAGTGGTTCTGTACTGTTATTGTTATGCACTGAATGTAATATGAAATATTCATAAAATAGGTCATGTAGTAAGTGGTCGTCAGTTTGCTCTATGATAGAAAAGAGGCCCCTAAAGGGAAAAGGTTGGGAACCACTGCTCTAGACTGTGGAAAAGCAAACTGGTTCTTGGAAGGTTTTTGAACCAACTCTGAACTGGCACTAGTTGTTAGTGGGAAAGGGGTATTATAGGAGGGTCGCTACAACATTCAAGTACTACCAGAAAGTGCAATATTCTGAAAATACAGTACTTTCTGTACATTTTTCTTTGTTGTTCGCAGCCACACAGCAAATGAAACCTGAAACCTGCTCTTTTCTTATCAACTGTTTGGATGCATTTGCAGGCATCTTTTGACCTTTGCCATTAATTTACAGTGTAAATACAAATACATAGTGTTACAATACGTAAGTGTTTTTGCTTTAATTGTATATGAAGGGGTGGTTTAAACTGATTTAAACGCAGGGGGGATGGGGAAAACAAATTCACCAAACGGCCAGTTTTATGTGAACAAGATATAATGGCGTCTATAATTATTAACTATAATTTATCGATATTGTGGAGGAATTATGAAAATGATGTCAGTAAGAAACAACAACTAACTACAAGGTAAAATATCTGACTCATAACTTAAAATTGACATCAACAAGGACTAAATAATTGTAGCTCTTTTAATTATTATTTATTAGATTCATACTTTGGTCCAGACTGAAATATCTCAACTACTATTTGATGAATTACCATGACAGTTTATACAGACGTTCATTTTAGCCAGTGGATAAATCTTAGTAACTTTTCCTATAGTGGTATCACCTGGCTCAGTACTTTGGTTTATGATTTAAATACCTAATGACATTCCCATCAGTGTGTGTTTAGTGCTAATTACCTAATATTAGCATTTCCAACATGCTAAAATAGGATGGTGAGCAGGGCAAAACATTATATCTGTTAAAAGCAACACATTAGCATTGTCACTGTGAGCATGTTAGCACTACATTAGCATGACATTAGCATTTAGCTCAAATGTATTGATCAAGTACAGTCTCATCTGCTAGCCTGATGGCAGACTCAAGATAAACTTTAATGAAGTTATTAGTTCTAGATTATAAGTTATTTGTTAATATGTGGTTTGATGTTGACCTTGTAGGTTAATTCTTGACCTTGTAAAGCAGGTTACCAAAAATATTCTCATCACAAGGTCCACTCATTTAGTTTATCCCGAGCTATGAGGCTCATCTCTCAACTGCTATCATATGACCGGAAATCCATACTTCGGTCACATGAGAACAACTAAAGCATCTCCATAACAATTGATGCAACTGATACCAAAATATGTGGCTGAAAGCTGTGGAAACCAAGTAAATAGACCTTTTGATGGGACTTATTTTGGTCAAGCATCATATTTAATATTTGGTTGCAAATCATTTGCATTCAATCACCCTCTGAAGTCTCGACACGAAGGCATCAACAAACACTTTCATTGTAAGCATCTTCGCTTCTTGCTTGTTTTGGGGCCTTTTTGCCTTCGGTCTTGTCTTCAGTTAGTGAAACACATGATTAGTTGGACTGAGGTCAGTTGACAGGGGCATGGTCAGGTGACGGATTTGGCTATGCGTGAAAATGACACTTTTTGCCCCTTTAAAACCTGCCATGGCAAGTGCAACTGACCTGCATAGTCATAAAACTGGAAGGGCTGTGTGTAAAAAGAGCTCCTATGCTGGTCAGCCAGCAAGGATTTGGACACCCTCACACATCCTACAGCTTTGAGTCAGTACTCTAACCTTATTGTTTCATTTCAATTCAGTACAAACCTATAAGCATGGAAAATCTGTCCCTGGCAGAGGTGGCAAAAGTACACACACTCTTTACTCATTACTTCTACTGTCAAGTAGAAGTGCAGATACTCGTGCAAAGCAGAAGCACAGATTCAACTTCTTCAAGTAAAATTGAAATAGTACAGGCTTTGAAATGTAGTCAAAGTATAAAATTAAAAAGTACAAGTTTCTACATTTTGACCAGCTGTTTCTGTGCGGTCAAGTCTTCCCCTCGTCTGTTTTGTGTTGTTACGTCTGTCATGCGTGATATACACCGGCCTTCTTGTCGGGAAGGCGTGCAATGATGCAAAAATTCTCTTCAAATTCATTAAAACTAATGTGAGGAGTATTAAAACTAATGTGAAGAGCCTGTTTTTTAATACAGATATTTGTATAAAAAAATAAAATAAAAGTAAAATTTATATACCTGAAAAAGCTACATAAGTACAGTAAGGAAATATTTGGACTTTATTACTTCCCACCTCTGGTCCCTGGACAAATATTTATAGACTGCATTGTAACTCTAAAGGGACATCAGATGCTAGAAACTACAGAAGAATACTAAGAACACGTGTTATCATTAAAGACATATACCAGTATTTCATTTTTAAGGTTTGAAGTGTTTGAGCTGCAGTTACTACCTAACTATAGGGTCACATATTCCCTTTACTTGGTCACTCATTTATTGCTTAAACTCTGCTCCTGCTGACACTTTAACTTTATTTTATGTCACCTTCTATTTGTATTTACATTGTGTGTTTGTCTAATGAGTTTATATGTCTTTTGTTGGTGTGAGAAAGAACAAATTAATGCTAATAAAAGCCTGAGTTGATCTTGTTTTTTTGCATCTAAGTTGTTTCTGTTCATATGCACTCAGTGTGTGTGTGTGTGTGTGGGGGGGGGGTTGCTGATAGGGGAAGACACAGAGAAGTTGTTGATGGTGGCCACTTACACAATGATTATCTATTCAGCGGGATGCATCAGAAAACCACCCATCAGAGATCAAACAGAGAGCACAGAAAGCTGATTAGCATGTGGTTTAGACTGAGACAGAGGGCGAGACGCTCGGGGAGACGGGGCAAATGGGAGTCAGGTCACGGGAAGCAACACGTCAGAGCCAACTCAATAAAGTTCTTCTCATTCCCTCACCGCCTCCAAAGCCTCTGAGTGTGCGTGTGTTTCTGCATGTGAGTGAAGAGCGTGTGTGTGTGTGTGTGTGTGTCTGTCCACCCATATATCTTGAATCATGTGACTTGACACGAGCAGTCATGCACGGTGTGAAAAGTCCCGCTATATATAGTAGGAGAGTGTTGGGTTTCCCAGCAAAGCATTGTAGGAGTCCGGTCATCTTTGTCTCATAAGAAAGAGCATGTCGTTGCTTTGTAATGTTTTTATCTACTGTAGGTGTCCACTGATGATTCTGTTTATTGTTTTACGGCAAGCTCTTAAGTCTGTGCTCTTTCTGTGTTGACTAAAGGCCTGTGTGATAGTAAACTTTAAAGATCATAACAGCAAGGATTAGAGTCTGTATGTGTGACACCATTAAAATGTACCTTATCTCATTTTCCGAATGAAGTCATTGTGAAGAGCTATAATGAGTCAGTTAGCAGCTCTGCTCTTAATGTGGAATCACACCTCAGTAATGGTATCATTAGATTTGGCACGAAATGGCAATTGTTATCTCATTTTGTAACCTCAGTGTTACTTCAGGATGTAACAAAGTAAAAAAAAAAAAAAGTGTTTTACTGTTAAAATTTAGGTCAGCAATTGTGTATTTGGCTAAAATAATTTACATTATAATAGTGTACAAACTACAAACATCATAAACCCACTCATATTTCAAAATTAAAGAGTCGTATAGTACAAAGCCGGTTTTATTTATATTTCTAAAATATGTTGTATCCTGCCAGCCTGATCTCACAGTAAAGTCATTACATTTTTACGAAAACGCATCATGTTTTATGTTTGACAGTACAAAAACACCATTTGGCCGTAACCAGTTTTTTACAGAAAGGAAAACCAACACAGGACCAACCCTTACCTTAACCAACTAAACCCTACTGATAATGGATTTAGTATTGTATACTAAGATTGAGACAGAGGCTGAGATATCCTGACCAAAAACACTAACTTATTCATTTCCCAGAATGCAATAAATTGCATCTCCCTGACAGGTAAATACCCATGTCTTTCAAAATCCATTTGTAATGCAGGATCGAAAATCTGTTGTCTCAGGGACCGTCAGGCTTGACAGAACTCCTCAGGAGACACCAAAGTCATGCAAATGTTTTCAGAGGCTGAAAACTCATGACTAGTAAACTGATTTTACGTGTGAAATTGGTTCCCCTTTAAACCCAGGAAACCCAAAACTTGAAAGAAAAATAGATGTAGCAACATTTTTGGACTAATTAGATGAAAATACACGATAGTAGTCACAAAATAAATGGCAGCCACACGTAGTTTAAACAATTTTAATGTTAGAGAATCCATTCAAATTCATAAATATACGACAGACAAGATAAAGTCAGTAAGAAATTAACAGTTTTAGCCACACTAGCGATGTGTCTCTATGGATACAGCTCACCTGAAATATACCTCAGCTAATATTCGTTATGATATTCGTGATCTTGCAATTTAGTTCAGACGTTCATGTCTCTCTCTCGCACAGAGAGGCTAGCATGCCTACAAAAAAACCAGAGATACACCGAGATGTCAAACTAATACATTAAAGCTTTTCTCAGAAGGCTGCTTCATGAATCAGGATACACTCATTCGGTTTTTGAGATTACGAGGCAAATTAATATTGTATGACATGAGCCATTGCTGCAATTCAATATCAGCATTATATAATTCAAAGTTAAAGACACCTCATGTTAACTGACATTACAGCTCTGGTCATGATCTGCTGCTCTGATTAAAAGGTGGGAATCATGCAAATGCAACATGGCAGGCAACTTACAGCTCATTATTCAACGGCAAAAATCAATTCCACATCATGAGGTGGCGTGAAAAGAAGCCTTGATGAAATATAACTGCAGGCAGACTTTATCACCACGCCTTGCCTAATTTCCTGGAACCACCGTGCCTTCTTTCAAATCAGCAGCAAGCTAAAGATTAACAGAAGTTTGTGTACACATTACCTCCGAAAACCGAACACCATGTGAAAGTGCCCGAGGATCCAAAATATCAGAATGTTTTCTGAGTTCATTTTATTTATGTTTGGGTTCAGACTGACAAGTTCTTTTTAATACCTCAAGTGTTTAATTTGAATGCTAGTAGTCTTTGTGCTTCTTTTTCATAGGTAGCATGAGACCAAACCAGAAGTGGCGCTGCTTAGAGAAGCTGGTCTATTCTGAATCCACCTTTAACAGCTTTAAAGGTCAAAGGTCAAGAGTCCCCTTTGACCCCAAGTGTCACCAAAATATAACCTGGGGGCAGATGAGCCCGAGCTTTTCAAGGATGTAAGAAACCATTGTATTTCTGTTTTGGAATAGCATGTGTATGAAAGTGAACACAAATGGATAACAGAGGCGTAATGAGGAGTGATCTCAGAAAGATGCTGTTTCTGCAAAGCTGTTACACATTTTCTAACACTGGGGATACGGCCAATGGGGGAAGAAAAAAATTCACAATGAGACACAGTGTCTCCAAGCAGACGCAGTGGCCAAAATTTCAAAGGTCTGGCTCGTGAGTGAGGGTCCGCCCAGCTCCAGTGCAGGTTGCCTTGGGCTGGCAGGTTCTTCCACTGCAGTGTGTGAGAGGAGTTTTTCTCCAGAGTGGGCAGGGCCGCTGGTGCTAACATATGTAAGCTCCACAGGGGTCTGTGACGGCACACACCGGCTATCTGGACAATGCATCCGTCATTAACCCCCGTCTTCCCTGCGTCTCGCTGCATTTCATTCGGCCTCCATCACTCCGCTCGCTCTCGGATCTCCCACTCATCTCCCCTTCTCTCTTTGTTTGGCCCACCTTATCTTCATCCCCTGCTGTCCATCTCCCCGTCCTCCTCCCTGCGTATCTCTCTTTCTCTTTTCTCTCCCCCTGTGGCCTGCTTTTCATCTCTCCCAGTTTTGCCCGCTCTCTCTTACCCCCTTTACACCCCCCCTCTCCTCCCTTCTCCCTCTCTGCCCTTCACCACGTCCCCCCCCCTTCACCCTCTCCCTAGATCCGCTTTCCACCCCCTCCTCCTCCTCCTCCTCCTCCTCCTCACACTCCCCCAACTCTCTCTCTCTCTCTCTCTCTCTCTCAACCCTCCCCCCTCCTCCTCTTCTCTGTCCTCCGTTCAATCCCTCCTCCTGCCCCCCTCCTCCTCCCTTTCTCTCCTGCCATCTTGCAGGCCAGTGGAGCCAGACTGCAGGCGTTCAGGGAGTCACTGGACCTGCTGGGCAGCGGGTGACACAGATTTCCGGTGTGTGTATGTGTGTGTGTGTGTGTGTGTGCATGCGTGACAAGAACAGGGAGGGGGGATTAAGCTCCAAATCACTAGAAAGGCACCGAAGAGAGAGGGGGGGAGAGAGAGAGAGAAAAAAAAGCTGCAGATCCAAGAATTTGAAATTCCCCCTTTGTCTGGGAGATGAAGAAACACTAGACTGTGGACTTTAACTAAAAGACTGTGTGTTTCTCATTCAGTGGGAGCGTTCACTAGCATGATGTTGGAGCTCGCTGCTTTTCTCCATGAGTTGGCAGTGTCCTGCGTTGGCTGGCGTGCTGCGCTTTCTCTCTCCCTCTCTCTCTCCCTGCCTGACAAACACGCACACACACACGCACACACATACACAACCCCCACACCCCCACAGATGCATGCACACACACACACACACACACACACACACACACACACACACACACTCACACTCACACTCACACTCACACTCACTCTCACACACACACACACAGTCCCTCTGCGATCCCCCTGACTGAAGGCACACAGGAAGTGCAGCCGTGGCCCAATTATAGCGTGACACCTCGGGCCGGCCGTTGCCATGGTTACGTCTTCCCTGCGGTCCCCTGGAGTGTGGCGCCGAGGAAGAAGGTCTTATCACATCAGCCATCGTTACGGCAACAAGCAAAAACCCACCCTGTAGCCTCAGTCCAGCTGGCTGTGTATTTTGTTCATAATGTGTGTATGAGTGTGTGTGCGTGTGTGTGTGTGTGTGTGTGTGTGCGTGTGCGTGTGATGATCTATACTTGTGAATAAAATGGGAAATTGCGTCAGTGTGTGAGTAGGGAAGAGGGTGTTTGTGATTATGTGTGCATGGCAGGTTAGGTGTGTTCGAGTGCATGCACTGGACTTGCCAAGGTAGCGTGTAGGTGTGTTTGTGTGTGTGTCTGTGGGGTTGCGATAAGGCTCTCAGCCACACCATTAGGTGACTCATAATCCACACAACCTCTTATACACACACACACACACACATATGAACACACGTGTACAACCAGAAACCAGTGGCTAACAGACACATACACCCAATTAAATATTACACACACACACACACACACACAGATGTAGTATAAACCCAGCCTGTAGACAGGTGCACATGGCCAATTTCTTTTATTTCAAAAGGGCAAACAGAGCTATACAGTACAAGTTGCACATGAAATAATTTAGCCTAGGCTGAACTCATTCATTTCTTACTGATGCAGTGACGTCAGAACAACAGAAACAAAACTCCCCATTAGAAACAAAACATTTGGCTCTTTTTATGTTGAAACACAATACATCCAAACTGGAAAGGGATGTAAAAAAAGACATAATGTTTTCCAGATATTTACAGTCTATTTACAGCATTTTTGTCGTCATCTAAATATTGACACACATTGGTATCCTTCTTTCTCTCCTCTCCAATTCACTGATTGTCAAAAGAAAGGATGGGAACGAGTGTGGACATTCTCAAACGGAGCTGCAGCTCCTCGCTAAACACAAGATCCGAAGATCTCTGAACCACAGTCTGAACAAGTTAACATGGTGTCCTGTGTGTTTTTATTAAACTGCAGCTCCTCAACAATCATCCAACCAGGATCCTCTGACAAATGCTGTCAACACATACAGTACATTACTATCCATCCAAGGCGCCGTTGCTTCTCTCCTGTGCCAGACCCAAAGTAAAGTCGGAGCCCCTAAGATCAAACCCAGACACTCTGCTCTCAAACCCAGGACCTCCCGGCTTCCTCTTCAGCTCCTCGCACTTCCTGTATTTACAGATCTGGTGTCCCCTCTTGCGATTGCGGCAGCTGCTGCACTGTTCGCAGTTCGTCTGACGCCGACAAGGTACGCACTCCCCGCACCTCTTTCTCTTCCTTCTCCCTCCACTGCCTCCGCCCAGAGAGCCAGGAGAGTAGCCCTCGGCCACCAGCCCCTCGATGCCCTCAGCTCCCATGGCCGCGCTCCTCCAGTGGCCTCCCCCCATCTGGAAGCCTGCCAGGGGGAACAGAGCGGGACTGAAGGGGAACCAGGCACCTAGGAAGGGTTGGAAGTCAGTGCCACATCCAGAGGAGTCCTCTTCCTCCTCCTCAGGCCCAGATCCACCTCCCTCCCCGTCCCCCTTCCCCCCCTTTGCTTCTGCAGCCTCCCTTTTAGCCGGCTGGCTGCTCTGTGCACCCAGGCCGGCCTGCTCTGTGGTGGCTGGGGTCAGAGCCAGCAGCCCGGCTCGCATCAGCAGCTCTGCGGCGTGGGCCAGGTGGAGCCCGCTGGGCGACTCCCACATGTCGGGCCAGGAGGGGGCCCGGCGAGGCTTAGTGTGCGCAGGCTGGGCGGGCCGCTGCTGGGCCGGGGAGGGCTGGATCAGGCCTTTGACGTCCACGGCCGGGGAAGGGGTGGAGATGTAATGGGAGAGGCTGTAGGGGTGGTTGGAGCGCTTAAGGCTGGGTCTCAGTGGCTCATTGGGGATTTTAGCGCTGCTGTGGGCCTGATCTGGGGAGGAAGGGCCAGCGATGTCTACGGCGGTGGACATAGCAGTGGCTGTGTGGGGGGGGTGTCTGTCCTTGTGTGTGTGTATGTGTGTGTGTGTGTGTGTGTGTGTGTGTGTGTGTGGGAGGAGAGGTGAGGGAGAAGGGGATTGAAGCCGATGCGGGGTTGACAACCGTCCTGCTGTTACTTCAGCCAAAATGGCAAGCCTTGGCCTGTGTCCCTATTCCCATTCTCTGCAGCAGCCTCAGAGTCCTGGAGAGCTAGAAATGAATAGAGGAAGGTTAAGAATAGAAATGTTGGAGAGACGAATACAAAAAGAGAGTAAACAGAGGAGACGAGACTGCAACATATTTCTCATTCAGAGTCACTAAAACAGTGTCAGAGAATCAGCGTGTGGAGAATCTGTGTTTAAAGACACATATAACATATACGTTAGGGATTTAGAAATAAGACTGCTTGGTTAGAAATGAACAGGCCCATGTATTAGACAGAGTGCATGCCTTGCCAGTGATTTCCGCATACAGGAGGCAGTATCCCTTTAAGAATTTCACGGTATATCAATGCAATCAATAACAGAGCGACAACAATATGCAAAGATATGCGCATATGCGCAGGTCAAATGTGGAGCGCGCTTTTCAAATACATTTTGACGACTGCTGTTATGTGTGCCAGCCAAAGCTTAAGCTCAACAGAGAAAGACTATATAGAGAACCGTAAAAAAACAGGCTGTCTTTTGTCTGGTATCGACGACGAGGAGCGAGGTGCGCAACGATGCGGTTGCTGTGGATAAAAAAAGACCAGGCTATATTCCATGTCCACATTTGTGGAAAAACTACTCCGGTGATTAAACACGGGACATATATGTCGTTACAGGACGAGGGTGTAAACCCTTTCGTGGGTCGATTGGGAAACCCGATCGATCATTTCACCGTAATTAAGGTTACCTAAGAAGACGGTGCTCGACCGACGCCACGGCGAGCTGACCACAGTCCGAGTGGTCGCTGCGACACGGCGCAGCGCGCAGGAAAAGGCGACAAAACCAAAACAGCGAAAATCAACAGGAAGTACTGATAAAAACGTCTCCGCTTACCTTCGAAATACGGTCCAAACTCTCCTGTCAAAAATATGATGAAGTCATGAACTAATGGCGTGGTGATTGTAGTGTATATGGACGGCGGAGCTGCCGATTCCTCCTCCACCTCTCCGTCCCGGAGGGTCTGCAAACACTCTGCACGGAATTTGGGGGCGTCGCTCAAAATGCGAAGTGGACTCTGCAGCCGAGACCGTGGTCAGAGCGACCCCATAATATCCACAGGAACCGTCCAACATACACGGACAGCTGTCACTATTAAACCCAGAATTAATCCAGCAAATAATATCCATCAGTGCCACTCACCCGATGCATCCACTGAGTGTGTGTGTGTGTGTGTGTGTGTGTGTGTCCGTTTATTGGGCGTTAGGTGGATATCTTCACCATGAAACACACATATAAATATATAATTAATCATAAGTATTATAAAGATAAAGAATATATTAAAATATCACCAGGTCCATTTATCACCTGCCTGGTGTGAAACAGGTGTCATTAAATTCTCATTGTTGTTGTTGTTGTTGTTGTTGTTTTTATTAGGACGTGGACATTAATTATCACATCAGTCTAATATTAGAGCAGTGCATATGAGGCTTAATTACCTTTAAGGCCTCTGCCAATTACCACCAGTTCATTCATCATTCCTGTTTTGTGAGTGAAAGCGGTTATGTCAACGTGGGCCATGTGATGAAAAAGAAAATGACTCTAGGCTGAGGAGAAGTATAATTACACCTCTAATTAATAATTAACTTAATTAAAAACACCTGTGGTCTGCCCAGTATACAGTTGGTGATGATTTAAATACTGGAAATACATAAATATGTGAATATATGTTTATTATCTGTTTATTATCTGGAACAAAATACAGTTATTTACATCTGTATGATGAAAATGTGGAAAGGATCCCTTTTATCTGCAGGCTGATGTTGATAGTCTATAAGCTGATGTTTTAACATTATGTTGTAAAATTATTAACACAAGAAGAGTAGAAAAATTAACACAAAAATAACTTTTAGGGACAAGTTGCCTGAAAGAAAAAATTATATAAATCTAAGTTATTTGTTTTATTCACACCTTTGCATTAAATGTACATGATTTATTAATGATATTATGTATAATTATAAAACTAATTTGTGATTATTTGTGAAATTATTATTCTAAATTGTGATTTTTGTTGTTGTATGGTTGTTTGTTTGAGTCTGGTGTGAAAAATTTACATAAATAAACAAATAAATAATTATATTATTATATTATTCATAAATCACAACAGCTAAACTCAATATGTTGTCTATTCTAGTGTTAAGATTATCAACACTATTAAGTCACCTACACTTAAAAAATATGAATAAAAATAATAATTAAAAAAATTTAATTAATTAATTAACCAAACATAAAAGACTCAGAGAGACATAATTACAGACAATTAGCAGTCAATGTATATTAACATATTTAGCACAGATAGTCTGTGTGCCAACGTGGCTCCAGTATAGAGCAGAGCCGCTGTCCCTCTCCTGGAGCTGTCTGTTAAAGGTGACTCCTCACTCAGGGATGGCGGAGTCCACTCCACCTCTTGTGAGAGTCCTCCGTTGTAGCTGGCACGCAGCCAGATACCTCGTGCGTGTGTTTGTGTGCGTGTGTGTGTGTGTGCGTGCGTGCGTGCGTGTGTCACTATGGGAGCAGGGGCCCACCGTACACTGTCTGGGCCTGGACTATCCGTGTAAACACAGCGTCTTCTAGTGGTCACCACAAATACTGCCACATCTTAAAATGGCCACTGGTGCTGGTGGACACTGCAGCACGGCAGCAGCCCCCCTCACCTCCAGCCGAGGCCTCACACACACACACACACACACACACAGGTCCCACTGCAGTCACCACACAGGGTTGTTTACTCATTACCCCTGTCCACTGTTAATCCATAAACACACTGCCTCTGCCTCGCTGCTAAAGTGCATTTGATCCTGTGGTTAAGAACACAAACAAATGTAGAGTTTGGCCCCCCGTCCGCCCCCCCCCAACCCACCCCACAGCAACAAGCGCTCCCCGCAAAATAAACACGCGAAGAAATCTGATCACGCAACAAGTTTTATTCACAATATACAGAACAATGAATCATCAGGTCAGACACACCGCAGCCAGTAGAAAATAAATCTAATAAAAAAAGCAGAATATATCCTTTGTGAGCAGAGTTTTGAACACTTTACAGATTAAATACAGGTTTGTTTGTTTTTTTTTGTCAGAAAGCAGACAGTAACTGGTTACAAACAGCAGATAGTGTTTCAACACTTCAAGATGGATGATTATTTCATTTAAGACAAACGCGACCTTCTATTTCCTCTGTATAAGCAGCTCTTTATCATTAGTTGTAACATTCACATGGGCTGTGTGTGTGTGTGTGTGTGTGTGTGTGTGTGTGTGTGTTGGGACTCTGGGTCGAGGGCTGTAGATTTTAAATATAATAAGGCCTTCTGCTGACTTCAAATGCAATACTGGACTCAAGGCAAAGAGCTACCCTGTTTAATACGTCTCAACCACCTGCTCCACACCTAGAGGAGAAGGAAGGGGACTCGGGTGACACCAGACGTGAAGGTACGATGCCCGTTTCACTTTTATCATGTCAGGAGAGAATCTGAAGCAAACTCTTCGCTTTTAGTAGGTCAAAATATGCCACTGCACAGTAATGGTACCTCCGTATCGAACTGCTGATTGTCAAAGTCCCTTCCTTATCTGTCCTCAAGTGACCTTTGCTTCAAAGTCAATTAATGTAGGAACACTGAGGAATGTATTAAATCAAAATTCATCAAGATTTCTTTTTCTGAGTTTCTGTTCTGCAAACTATCTACAGTTTGGTTTAAACTGTGGCCGCGTTATACCGTAACCATCAGTGTGACTGCAACGTTGATGATACAATGATTTGATGAAACCGGGCTCGGGTGCATGAGATGTCAAACGAGGGCGGATTTTCTCTGGGGGGGGGGTGCTTAAGCGTCCTTCTTCTTGATGATGAGCGGCCCGACGTTGTCCCCGGTCTCCTCGTTGTGTTTGGTGTGGGCTCCGTCGCAGAAAGGGAACTGCAAGGCGGAGAAAACAATGTCAGAGGACAACAGAGGCAGCTCTTATCAAAAAAAAGTTTACGCCCTTTGTACTTTATGATACGATTGTGATTTAATCGTGATTTAAAATCTCCCACGAAGCCTCCCGGAAACTGTGACATAGAAACAGCTGTACAAAAGATTGTTTTGATCAGCTTTTGAGCAGACATGTTATCTATATATTAGCCTCAACCTTTAATCTTTATGATCATTATAAAAAGGGAATGGCTCTAGTTAAGTCCCCTAATCGTCAGTGAGCAAACTTCTTTAGTCCATGAGGATTTCTCTCCCTGCTGAGGACCTCAAGAACCACTTGGGTGCATTTCAATATGAGGTCTCTCATTTTAAAATGTAACATCTACTCAGTTAAATTCCTATTTTTACAAAAGCTAGAAGGTCAATGTCACTAAGTGTTCAATTTACTGCTGTATCGCACTTCAGCCAACACTAATGACAGCCTGCCTCTCAGTTTGTCCTCTGATGTAGTTTGCATGGCTCTATGGGGGCTCTATGGGTTGGAAAGGGGTGTTAAAACTCAAGATTTCCATTAGCAGTCAAACAAAAACAAAAAAAACACCAGACTGGGATGTGGCAATATAAACAGCAGCAGGACATTTAATAGTAGAAAGCTATGGACCTTAAAGTGTCCAGTTACACTAATGAATGCCTCTAAAGTAGAAGCCTGACCTTCTTTGACTTCCAGCAGCGGCAGTACACAGCCTTGGTGCCGATGTCCTCCATGTCGAAGCTGTGGACCACTTTAGGACTGTCTTTACTGATGGATGTGTTCACCAGGCCCTTTTTACAGCTCCGCCCGCTCAGGTAATGGCTGACGAGGAAACCTCCGATACCTGCAACCACTGCAACCGGCACGGCAACCACAAAATGCTCTGGAGGGAGAGAGGGAGAGAGAGAAAGAGAGTCACGCTGGGCGACCAGTCTCTAAAACAAGATCAACTGCATGCCTGTTTTACTAGATTTCATTACATAGTAAAATGTGTATATAATAACCTGGAGGCTGAATGACTTCCAGGAATATGTGGTAGCCAACTGAGCATTTAAGTAACATTTGTATATAAAGGTTTTAATCCATTTTAACCAAAAAGGTTTAATGTACAACTATAGTTTTCTGCTTTCTATTCTGTCTTGTTGACATTGTTCTCACTGAGAGTAAATATCCACCCAGGTGTGATTATAACTGCTGCAGTTTGTTGATAAAAATATAAAGTAACTTTTGATTCTTCTCTCGTCTCCAACGACTCCGCTGTGTTGCACCATCAGAGCTCAGACACAACATATGTGTGACTCACAAACCACATGAACTCTGACCTTTATACAGATTCAGGTCTGACTTTATGTGACTTTTAAACACTCCAGATTGTTGACACTCCTCCACACACACAGGAATCAGATACTGGGGGCCCCACATTTACCAAACAATGTGACCTGAGGTCCGCACTGTGATCGATAGCCTTAAGATACAGAAGAAAGTCTGACAACATGAGAGGATGTGTACAGCGGGGTTTGCACGTGGAAATTGGCCCGTTTTTGTTTTCTGTTGCAGGGCAATGAGGAGGATTATCCAGGTCCACTGACCATCACATGATGTAGAGCCTAAGACAAGAGGAACAGGGGCCCTGCTGTCAGTATGGATCAGCAGGTTCAGAGATTAGCTGCCGCACTACCGGAGCGACTAGAGGCCAGGATAGAAAGATACTCCTACTGTGGGTGGTGGGATCGTCTCCAAGCTCTTTCACAGCTTCATGGGGGCCAAAAACTCCCCGAGTGACCGAAAACACACGTGTGGCTGAGCGGCCAGTGAGCTAGCTGCGATACAACGTTGTTGACACTACGATGAATAAGCAAAAACTACCTGTAGAGATTATATTATGTTATTTTAAAAAGGTTTATTCATTCAATGTAGAGGAATTAAGTCTCCGTGTACCCGCGTTGTTTCATACAAACAATCTGCTGTTGTTAGTTTCACCGGGGGTGACGTTAGGTCGCGGAAAAACAAAACAGTCCTTTTAATGCTCGCCTGCGATATAAAGTAGAGTTTTTAATGATTTTACCTTTCGATAATCTGAGTCCCGAGCTGGGGAGTGCGGCAGGTAAACCCGGGGTCGCCATGTTTCCCCCTGGACGGTGTGTTGTTTGTGTTCAGTGATCAACGACAAGGTCAACCGGGGGAGTCTTATCTGGACTCTGGCAGCTCCACCGGGTCCGGGCCTCCCTCCGTAGGCCTACTACGTCACTGTGCAGCAACCAATCAGGTGCGAGGAGGCGGACTGATATTCTGCCAGAGCGAGAGGATAACCCCCCCCCTCGGTTTTCAGCGTACTTCCGGGTTCGCTTTACTGCCGATCGAAGACTGAAATGCAAAAATAATCTCATATTTTAACCACATGTCACAGTCTCCTTCAGCGAATGGGGTTTGTTTAGTTGCTTAGTCAGCAATATAGCTGTCAACAAAAGGGACGAGTCAAAACGTTTCAGAAACATTACGACGATACGAATAACGTATGATTTCATTAACTGTTGTATGTGACAGCTGTGTGCTGCTCTACACAAATAGTAATGTATTAGTGTATTACATATTGCAGGATGGTTGATGCCGAGGGTTTCCACCATTGGTTTCCACTGGAGGGGAATCATCTTGATGGCCGATAGCTTTGATGAGGCCCACTTCCCTTTCCAGGAGCGATTTCTCCTGAACCGGATAAATGCGATGACAACTCGTTCTGGGTTTAATTTTATAAACAGATTTTAACATAATACAACTCTATTATTCTTTAGCAACTCATATTTGATGTGTGTGAACACTGAATGGCCGTAAGGTTACATTTCAAACACTCATTACATAGAAACACCACCAGAGGGCGACAAACCGACCTGCTATCATTGAGACAAAAAACTAAATCAATAATGAAATGTATGGTGTCTTTAGATATATTCATGAAATGCATTTCATTATTCTGTGAATGCATTCATTTAAACCCATATATCTGAAATTGAGTGTCCCTTACACACAGAGCATAAACAAACAGCTGATCTACTTACAATTATTAAATCTGAACAATTTAAAAACCCTTTCAGTCAAGTTTTACTTATTGATCAGATATTCCTCTACATGTACAAAGAATGTATTGGTAGCAATTGTCAAATAACAGCTATACACTGTGGTAATGGAAAGTATTATTCATCGTGTCTGTCTATTTCCTGTAAAACTGGGCCATGAATGTGACCTGGCTTCACGTCCCTTTCTTACCTCTGTATGCCCTCCAAAAGAGGGAATGAGTCAACACAGGAGTCATAGGTTTTTATTACACAGTTTAATCAACACACAAAGCTCAACGAGCCTCTCAGGTAATTCAATATACAGAGGTTTTGTGCAAGAAGAGTGGGTTCTCCTCGCACCCAGAGCCCAAGCCAGTCCCATAGCCATTTAAGATGTTAGCCTCTAATTTAACAATAGCAAAAAACAAAAAAAGAAAACAAAAAGAAAAGAAAAATACAACCTAAAGAGTTATGGGGGGGGAATAAAAACACAGGTTAAACTAAGAAAAATAAATTGCTTAAATACCTGGTCCAGAACCTCCATATTGTGAATAAAGAAAAGTTGGTGGTAGTGGTGGGGGTGACATGGGGTTACAGTTGTGCGTGCATGTGTGTCTGTGTGTGTGTGTGTGTGTGTACAAAGGGGTCAACTTGGGTAAGGTGGGGTGGTAGGGAAAAGGGGGGGGGGGTCAGGAGCAAGAGGATATGGGGGTAAATTCAAGTCCTTTCATAGAATCCAACAGAAGACCAAAATAGGCAATGTGCAGTTTTTTTCCATTTTACATAGCCTGCAATGATTTATTTGACGTATTTTTTTGTATAAAATACAGAGTGCCCTTCGACTCACGTGCGAACACTACTTTCTTGAATTGTCACCTCTACAGATGGGAATTATAAGAACAAAACAAGAAAGGGTGCAGAGTGTAAAAATCCCTCCATCTTATTGTCTCCCACCCCCCTTAAAAAAATAGGGAAATAAAAGGAAAAAAAAAAAAAAGGTCCCCTCAAAGTTTTACTGATGCTCAAAGGAATGCTTTTAGTGATTAACGTCTGGGGAAGGTGGGTGAGGATGCAGGCGTGTGTAGGTAAAAGGGGGGGGAGGCGCATGACAGTCCAACCTGCATGGTCACAGAATGTAACGGAATACAGAAGTCAGGAGATAGGGTCAGAGGTCACGAGAGAGGGAGGGAGGGAGGTGAAAAAGGAGGAGGGAGAGGTGGGTGTTACCATTGCAAGTTGACAATATGTACACTGGAGGGTGGGGGCAGGTGAGCTGAGAGGCGGGGGGGGAAGGTGGGGGAGACAGAGTCAAACAGAGAGAGGAAAAGGAGAGAGAGAGAGAGAGAGAGAGAGAGAGAGAGAGAGAGAGAGAGAGAGAGAGAGAGAGAGAGAGAGAGGTGGGGCAGAGGGAGTTTTTACAGGTACTCTGGTGAAGGGGAGGCGTGGCTCAAAGAAAGCACTCCAATGGAAACCAACAAGATCTTGTTTTAAACTTTTCATTTGTTTGAACGGTTTTTTGTTTGTTTTCTCTTTACGTCTGAAGCTCCCCTAACCTTATGTCGTAGAGGTGGTTGGCCATAATTCTACCCCAACACTACATTGCATACTTTTGTGTCCATTCCCGAGCTATTTTGTTGTACCTGTGAACAAGCAGAGACAGAGAGAGAGAGAGAGAGAGAGAGAGAGAGAAAAGGGAGTTGTTAGTTGTTGTTGCCTCCTCCATTCATTTTCATGTGTACATCATAAGTTTTGCTGCCGTCCCTGCAGCGGAGATGCCAGCTGGCCACTCTACAAGGGCACATACTGTTGTGCCATCTTGCACCAAAGTTCAGCAGGTTTGTTTCTATTTCTTCTTCCCACTGCAGCAACCTGTCAGGAGTCAGTGCCGCTGGCCAACCAAGTGACAGCACTGTGCTGTTTAAACCCAGATACGGCGTAACCAGAACGATAGCCAGTCTCACTGTACTCAATGTTTATTAAGCTTGTTAGTAGAGCTGTAACGGTTCTGAAACCGAGACCGAAATCGGTGGACATGCAGAAGAGGCATCTCTGTTATTAGCCATGAAGAGGCTTGAGGGCACATTTACATTATATTATCTAGGGCAGTGGAATCACTGATGGAAAGAAACGAGGGACAGTACTATGGACCAGGATGCAAACTTATTTTTTCTTTGACCATTTGACTGTGTTTAAAAGTTATGTTTTTATATCACAAATGATGAGCACAGGCAGTAACATGTCGGTCTTATAGGTAAGGAGGTAGGAGTTATTGTGGAGCGGTTGCTCTGCAGGTAAGCTCAACTTTTCTGTAATTGGGTGGAGGCAATGTGGGTACTCGCCCCGGACGTGGACACTAAACCCATTGTCAGTTTTGTCCAATAAAGTCAGTTTTGTCCAATAAAGTTTATTTAAACAAACCATCAAAAACTTTTACAAAAAGTGATAGGCACTGTTACTTGTTCAATTTTATTATGAAAAGAAACTCATTCGAACACAAGAGAAATATGGAAGCTCAGATGGCTGGAAGATGTAGACAATATGGTCTCTCTGATCTGCAGCTGTCTCAAGACAATAGTTTTAGCTACAAGATGTAAAATATAACAAATCTTTTGACAGCAACCATGTGGGAAATCAGACCATTGGACGACTCAAACTGCAAAGACAGCCGAATATTTTCGACGTGCCAGAAATCCAACTGATCATCCGAGAGGCGTCGTGACTCCTGTGATTCTAAAATTAGTTGGGGGTCGACCAATTCAGGCCTAAAATCGGGGCCGAATTTGCAGAGTGTCTGCCCGACTTAAGAGCCTATTACTGTCAAACAGTAAGTGGCCAATATATCTTTAAAGCCAGTTCCCATGACTGAACCTAGTCAAGAATTTCTTACAACATGCCATCCATGTGTACTTAAGCTTTCAAACTATATAGAAGACTATTGTGAATATGAGTTCTTACTTGTAATAGAAATTTGGCTAATTAGTTAAATAAATGATAGTTAAAATAGTTTTGTCTTTCAAGCTTATGTGACATCCTTTGTGATTGTTGCACACAATAGCAGTAACAATGTTTTGAAAATCAAATTCCATTAGCAAGCTGGAGCTTCAGTAGCCAGTTTGTGACGCTGACTTTGAACAAGCCTGATGCATGCAAATAAAAAAGGAACCAATAACTTACTTTTCCCTGTCCGTCTTGTAGATGCGGGCGATCTCGGGTACTAAGGGATCATCCGGGTTTGGATCGCACAGCAGAGAGCAGATGGACAGGAGGACTGGAATACAACAGGCCAAAGTTAAGAGTTAACCAATCAGTATTCACAAATAAAAAAATACATTTTCAGACTCATTTTCCTTCAAATGACCCTTAGATGCATTGTAGGTAGAGTACTTGTTAGGGCTATTGAACTGTTGATAGTACATAGGAATTTAAAAAAAAAGAAAAAATGCCCTTGTGCATGAGGGACACATAAGTATGTCCGGTAATAACCCAGCACTGGATGAACAGAGCTAAAGCTGACATCTACAGAGATAAATACTCCAGTTTAATACAAGGACCTCTGCGTGTGATGCATTATTTGCGGGAAGCATTTTCATTTAAAAAGGAAACATGTTTCCCCTGTTCCTTCATTCTTAACATCCTGTTTATAAAGGCTGAGGCATCTGCCATTTATCTGTAACCATATGTGTGGTTGTGCAGTTAAAAGTCTGAAGGCCAGTAAGAATCAGCCTACCTTTGGAGATGGTGAGAGCTGGAGACCACTGTGATCGCAGAATGTCAAGACAAATGCTGCCGTTGCTGTTGATATTTGGGTGGTAGATTCTTGTGGTAAATGCAACCTGAAAACAGTCGGAGGGAAAAGAAATGGTGGGGGGAGGGGGGCGAGAAAGGGGGGCAGGTGAGAGGAACAACAGGAAACTGAATGATATAAAGCTGTGGCATGTTTTAGCAGGCAGAAGGCACTCTGTGTGCCTCGCTGTTACTGTATTATGTATGCTGTATTCTTTGTGCGTTTATGTCTAGGTCTTCCTTACCTTTGGCGGTTTGAAGGGGTAGTCTGTGGGGAAGTGTATGGTCAAGAAGAAAACCCCGCTCTGGTAAGGACTGTCATTCTAATGCAGGGAGAGAAACCCCCCATTCATCTCATTAGTGACTGAAGTGCAAGGACTTGACAAAAGTTGACCTTCTCTCTGACTAAATTGATTAGGTAAGCAGTAAGTTCAGTTTACTTAGCCCCATTAAAATGCTGTATTGGTTGTTTGAAGAGCACAATTCAAAGTCAAGAGTACGGGAGAGTAAAAAATAATGACAAAACCATTGTGTCACCGTGTGTGTGTGAATTTTAATTCCCAGCAAAAGCAGTACGATTGGCTGTGGCCAAGTGAATACTTACAGGTCCCATTATTGTGGCTTGCCAGTGAAACACTGAAACAAAAACCAGAGAAATTTGTTATGAAACACGAAGGACACAATGTGTGGCTGAGAAGTGTTAGAATAAATAATGCCACATGAAGCGTGCATGTTTATTTATACAGTTGAATAACAGGGTCTTACATAAAGTGCAACTCAGGACAAATATTCTTGGAAACAGCGGTTTAAAAAAAAATTGTAAATAGTAGGGTCATATAACGGCAGTAGACTAATTTACATATATACAATGTTATCAAAGGTACTGCTTAAGAGGAAATTGTTACCCTGACATGAGGTATAATTATATAAAAGCCTCAAAAAAAGACAACACAAATTGTGACAACAAAAACAAACCACAAGTTTGATCTGGCAGCATTTAGACCTTTCTACTTCATGCATCCTGTTGAGGTCTGAGGACAAATGTCACATTGAAAAAAAAAAAGAAAGTAAACAGCAGCAATTATGTGTCATAAGAAACACCTTCATGTAGTTTATAGAAGACGTTTATTTGATGTTGGATGGCAGGAAGCATCACGTACAGAGCGACAGTGCTGCTACTGATTTTTCCCACGGTGTTGTTTTAGTGTAAAGATGTGCCACACATTCACAAATATGATAAATGTAACACTACTGAAATACAGCACATACATCATCTAAATTGACCTAATCTCTCTAAACGCACGCTCGCTTTGATTGTTTTCATGCCAGACATTTTAATAGTATAAAAAGATCAAGTATGCCTGTACATTTCATTAAACTGATTCCAAGCATGGACGGTAAAAGCAGTCATAGGGTTAAACATTTGTTGGTAATGATATTGAAACACAGAAAAGCTGTGTTTGAGACAGCTTACAAACAAGTGCTGCATCCCCTCAAGCCAATGCAAGCACACTTGTTACCCTCTGGTTGAATCTACTGTTCAATTGTGAACACAAGAGTCCGTTCTTCTTGGAATATAAACACCTAAATTAAAGATATACATTTTTTTAAAATAAATATTGACAGTTTTCATCCATCCATCCATCCATAGAAGATGTCCGACTCACATTACAATAGGTATTTATGAAGCACTGTTGATTTACTGAGATTAAGTTTGGCCAATATTTGTGATTTCTTGTGTATGATGAATTGTATGTTCTTTTTATTGACTTCAGAAGGTAATACTAATACTACTAGGTAATAATACTGAAAGGCTTTCTCAATAATCATATCTGTAAATACATTTTTTTGTAAATATTCTTGCTCAAATAACCAGTGATGTTTGTCTGTTAATCTGTCAAATACTTGAGACGCCCAGATGATCATGTGGCCCTACCTGCATATGTCATAAACCCCAAACATGAGACAATGGTGTGGGCGTTGGTCTCTTGTGGAGCCCAGGTGTTTGTCGTGATAAGCATCAGCTCACCCCTTTACAGCCAGCTGGAGCATCACTGTTCCTCAGTAAGTTTATGTCAACCTTTAAAGACTAGCAGTATGTTGTATAATGTGAAAGTCAATAAAACCACACGTTCAAATCAATGTGTGTACATTTGTCTTCGGTTTTGTTTTTTTGTTTTTATGTAAAGGAACGCACTCTCTTCAGTATACAAGGAAAACAGGACAAGATGAACCCCTAAACTGGTTAAAATTAGGGATGCACCGATCCACATTTTTTCACTTCCGATCCGATCCCGATACCTGAATTTGGATATCGGCCGATACCGATACTATTCTGATACCAGAGCTCTGTTTTCTTTATTATTATTATCATTATTGTTGATTTTATATGAGATAATATGAATAAACTCCTCAACAGGCAAGTATGATATGTACGTATGTATGCATGTATTTCCCAAAAGGCAACTTGAGGCAAGTATAAGGTCAGAAAAGGAAGTCAGAAAAACAGGAAATCCTTTTAACAGGAAAAATCCCATTCTGAAAACAAATATGCAACTGTAAGGGTTTCAAATTGAGTGTCATGTCAATATTTATTAAATTCCCAAAATGTCAAATATTTGAGTCTTGAAATATAAGAAAAGTGCAATAAGTGTAAACATCTCACACACACACACACAAACAATCAATCAATAAAACAGTGTGCATCTGAACAGCACAAATCAAGTACACTGGCTCTTGTAGTATCAATAAATCAAGGTTTTAAAATGTCAATTATCTGAAATATAAGAAAAGTGCAATAACTGTAAACATCTTACACACACACACACACACACACACACACACACACACGTTGTCTGCCTGGAGTTTACCTTGTTTTTAGAATGACTCCAGAAGTGATTCCTGACAGCTCGCCTAAAATAATCCTCGTGCTGTTTCGTGTGGTGTTTTTTTAAGTGTTTGATTGCGTTCGTAGTGTTGTACGACGCGAGGGCGCTTCCACTCTTCACTCTGAATTATGGCTTTGCACACATTGCATTTTGCTGTCTTGCTCTGTGGTGTTTCCAGTGTAAAGTATTTCCACACAGCGGACATGTTGGCTAGCCACAATGCTGCTCAATGCTATCCTGCTAGCTGGCTGCAAACTGTGGAATAGATTTCCTGAGCGGAGGCGTTTCTCATAACTCTGTGTGTCATTGAGCCGCGCCTCCGTTCAGGAAATCCATAGTTTGCAGCCAGCTAGCAGACTGTCCGGCAGGAATCACCTGTGGAGTCATTTCAGCAGACAACGTTAAAGCTCATGGCTCATGGATATCGGAAATCTCCGCAGGTTGGATCGGGAAATTCCGATACGTGAATTACGCTGGTATCGGTCCCGATACCGATACTGGATCGGATCCGACCCCATCCCTAGTTAAAATTAAATTAAAGAGCTAATATATGGTGGAGCAACTGCAACACAGCTCTCGCTTGGCAAAACGGTTCTCTATGTATGTTCCAAAATCTCCAAAAATGTATAAATTCCTGCTGTCACCACAGAGAGGGAAGTGATCACATCATATCTAACAATACAAGACATTGATGTCATCAAAATAAATGTTTAATGCTATGTTGCTTTTAAAAGGGCAAAGAATTGACTATCAGATATATTTTTTAAAATCCAATATTAAACAGAACCAGATTGATTTGATTCTGACATCATGTAATCATTGTGCCTTCATTAGGTGACACAACGCAACCCGGTTACCTTCACTGCTATTATGTTAACAGCAACCAGTTGTCTTTCTTCAGATAGCAGAGCTCTGGCTCTGGACAGTGGACGCAGTCAACACAAGGGTTCATGTTTGGGATACTTACAGACAATCAATGCACCTGTCAGTATAAACATCAGCTCACTGGTGCTTGTTTGTTGTGGATCATCACAGCAGAACAACAGTCGTAAAGAAATATCCACAAAAAGGTAAATCAAATTTAAGTTACACATCTACTTGAATGATTAAAAGATAAAATTATATAATTAGAAATCTCTCTTGCAGCATTTTAATTATTTGGCTTTGTGCCTTTTCAAGTGCTGTTAAAGATAATTGTGCTGATGGTGTGTACAAGGGATCAACACAATACCCATAATGCTGATATTTTGTCCTCCCTACATACAGGGAAAGAGATGGGTGTACAGGTGAAGATGGGCGATATTAAAATATAGATTCACCTTTCAATGTTATGCAGTCGACCACAACAGCAGAGTTTTTAACAAAGACCGCTCAAAAATTATGATTATGAGATTCCAAATGTGGTATTTATTATAGGTCTATTGTATAAGAGTTGCATAAGAACCGTACAGGCCGTCATAATATTGTGCACATCCCGGTACACACAAACACATTCAACAAATATAACCTGAACTCCCAAACTACAATGGTATGCTTATTATACTATTAAAAAAAACACATACGCCACAGATCCGTTGTTGCGTCATCATTTACAAACAATACACAAACAACAATGTCACACACTTCACGTGGCCTACATTACAAACTCAACATACGTACACTGATCTTGTTTCTACTGCGTGTGGCAGGTGTGTTTATAGTAGCTGAGGAAAATATGTCAAATTAAAGTGCCATGCTGCAGTTATTCAGACACTCGTACAATCATTAACCGGCCAACATTCATGCATGTACAAAGGGTGACTGGTGCCCACCTCATTAATGTTAGCCAAACTAATTATTTGCTGTAAGCCTGCTCAGGGAAACATCTGTCTAACAATAATTTGGCTCCATAAACCAACTTAACAGTGTCCACTATTTATGCCAACCAGGACAATTTAATAGCTTTATGGCATGTCACACACTGAATATCAGGTAGAATTATTCACCAGTACCATTTCCGCTTGATAATGTACAATTCGTAAGGCTTTAAAAAAGGTTTAAAAAACCTGAAAACACACTGTATCAAAATGGTGTGATGTTTTGGCTGTGAGTAAGCAAACATGCCAGTTAACCTGTTAAGTAAATGCCCATCATTGAAGGTCAATGTGTGTATAATAAAATGTTCCAATAAAATGAATTTACTGTCCACTCTGACTTGTTCACAACAGTTTCTAAACATGTAAGATGTGCTCAAAACTCAAGTCACTACATCATAAAGATTGGACGATGAACTTTAAAAGCTGTTGAGAAATTAGTGAGCCACAAGACTGTCAAAGCAGAGACACAGGTGGGTGGGATGTTGAAAGGAGAGCTTTGGACTGCTGGTAGCATGAGACAGACTCAAAGACAGACTACAGACTTCACATGGGCAACAGTACGCAGAAAGCCCGCAGTTCTACAGCCACAATATAAATAAACAAACATGCAGAAATTTAAACTAAATGGTGTAACTAGGATCAATCGGTCAAAATACAATGACCAGTTTAAAAGCTACCTGTCATTTTTAAACAGCACCTCTGTTTTGGATGGTATAAAATAATGTTAAGATGCAATGAGTGTGATTAATGCATTTAAATCTATTCATTTGTATTATATGCTATATACTTGACAGTAGAAATTGACACTAGTAAAAACATTGAAAATAAAATATTCATTTTAAAAAAGGATATATTTGCAGTAAGTATGAAATATATTTATAAATAAATGCCTTCTCAGTTTTATTTTTGGGTCAATTCATAGGATAAAAAGTCTGAGGTGGATAATGAATAAAATCACTCCCCTTTAACTCCTAAATTACAAAAGAATTATATACTAGCCAGACAAAAAAATCCTCTTATACTTGCCCCAAGAGCAAAAGTGAAACTGACTTGTACCAATAGAGTTGGGGATATCACGCTTATATAATAAACCTGTATTTTTACCAGAAGCAGTCCAGTTATTTCCTGGATCTGCTTGCAGACAAAAAAAACAAAAACAAAAACAAAAACAGGAGTACTTCCTTAATTTAGTTAAATGCCTCTGGACACCACACTTCAAAAGCTAGCACCTTCACTGATGCTTGTATTTTCTTTTCCACGTTACAAGACTATCCTATGTATTGAAGTTGCAGTCTGTGGTCATATAAATAGTGCGGACAATATTCCACAGCCAAACTAAAACAGAATAATCATAAAATAACCTGAGAGCAGATCTGGAGACAGTTCACATCCGTCTCTCAGGTAGAAGGCTAAATCTACATAGTATGTAATAAATTAGAATAAAAGATATACTTTCAGTGTATTTTGACTGATAAATATTTAATTCCACAGGTTTGGTTGTTTATTAAATGCTCTGGCCAAAATAAGGGAAGGGAAAAGCAGCAATTTGTTTTGGAGTCCTGTTCAGTTTTGAGCCTCGGTCACACACACAGCTCCCAGGAAAGTGTTGGTGTAGATGATGAACTTACTGTCATCTCCTACTGGTCCTGCAGAACACTGGGCTGGTGGGTCCCGTGCCAAGTCATTCAACTCCTGAGACAAATAAATGACAAGTCAGTCGATCAGGTCCTAAAGTATTTAAAGAATTCCCACAAACAATAACTTAAATAACAGGAAAAAAAAAAAGATATGAGTTATACTAATAACGCAAAACTCCTGGAAAAGATCTTAAATAGTCTGATCTTAATACTTAAGAATATTATCCGCAATTAACAGACCCAGTGTGAGCCCTCTATATAGTCGACTAAAATCACTATTTGTAAACAATGTCACTGCAATGGTAACAACTCAAACAGCAAGTCCTACTGACACAACATCACAGTGGCCACTGTTACATAAGAGTATTTCACCAGGTATAGCAGGTAGCACATGAGACAGCCAAACCGAGATCACGACGATCTGACAAAAGAGATTTTACTACAAGCAAAGCAGTCTGATAATCTGTGTGTAGCCTAATGGCAATGCTGCCAGCGTTAGCTTAGCGTCAAATGCTACAACAGCCACAGGATTGACAAGTGACCAGAAAACATAATGCTGGGGTGATCGGCCACGTTGCGACGCGAGGAAACGCGAGTGGAGGTAGTAACAACAACGAGGCAAAACAAAACATTCAGCTAACTCAATCCAACAAGATGTATTATAACGATCTGCTGCTCGTCTGCTGTCAGCAACATGGCATCAAAGGCGAACAACGCGTGGGGCCTGTTTCTACCACACACACACACACACACACACACATATATATACATATAAATATATATATATGTTGTTTAGTTTGTCGAGAACAAACAACTACAACGTCAAATAGAAACAATAATACGCGTAATATGTGGAGATTACAGGCTGAGCATTACACACATACACAAATAACGTAAAAACAGGGATTTATATATTCTAGCTTGGGCTACTTTCTTCTGGGCTGTTACAAAACTACTTCACGCTAAATTTGCACTTATAAAAAAAAATAAAAATAAAAGAGTTAACAACACACAAGGGAGGAAATAAATGAGAAGATAGAATAAAAGCGCGAGTGTCATCTTTAAAATAAGCTAACGTCGCTGCTAGCTCGGCAACTTATCTGTCAGATCGAGGAGCGTCAAGTAACCGGAATAAAATAACGTCAGCTGGCCACACAAGTACGGGGACGACTGGAAGCCATCGTTTAAATCACATTAAAAACATAAAACCTCAGCGGTAACGGAGTAAAGCTAGAACCCCCCCCTCTCTCCCCCTCTCCCCCTTTCACAGCTAGCTCATCCGAGTTAGCCACCGTTAGCCGGCTAGCGCTAACACAACCGCTAATATCATTAACAAGAAACCCGGCGTAGCTCACACCGCCCCCCCCATACACCACCAACCGGGAGGGCGACCCCCCCCTCACCAACAACCACCAACCACCGAAATTAACCATAAAAACAGCACCACGTTACAAATAAGAGAGCCCGTGAGACGTGCTCTGTAACGGTTGCCCGGTGAGTGTAACGGTTGCGTCGGGCCGTTGGTGGAGCTCAGACAGGCGGCGCATTGCTGCTCGCACTGTCGTCACTCGGAGACCGTTAGCTGGCAGTTGAAACCGAGCCTGAGCTTATTAAGTCAACGGGGGTTTTTTTTTTTTTATTTTAATTTTTTTTTTCTGTTTAATTATTCTCCGTTTTAATAAACTCACACAGCCCAAAAAAAAAAAAAAAAAAAAAAACACCAAGCGTGGGCGTCGTTGGAGCTAAACCCCCCGACGAAAACTGCGAAATCCCGGGCCTCGTCGCTCACTTCCTTACCTTGTGAATTCTTTTCAGAGCCATTGTTGTGCTAGCGGTTCTGTCAGGGAAAACGTGCAATTAAAATGGCGATTGATGTCACTGTCCGTTGGTAATGCTACGACTTAATTATCATAGGACGCCGTTGCTGTGCGCTCGATTTACTGATCGCTACCAGGAGGAACAACCGATGTAATTTCGAGGTGAAACTGAAAGATAGAAGGGGTAGAACCGCGGTCCTTCCTCCTACTGCAGCGGCTACCAAATCACTGCGGCCTGTGCTCCGCCAGCAGCAACAACGAGAACACTTCCGATCGGAGCTCTTCACAATAAAAGCCTGTTAGTCTTCACAATATTCCACAGCCAAACTAAAACACAACAATCGTAAAATAACCTGAGAGTGCAGATCTTCACATCCGTCTTTCAGGTGGAAGACTAAATCTACATAGTATGTAATAAATTAGAGTAAAAGATATACTTTCAGTGTATTTTGACTGATAAATATTTAATTGCACAGGTTTGGTTGTTTATTAAATGCTCTGGCCAAAATAAGGGAAGGGCAAAGCAGCAATTTGTTTTGGAGTCCTGTTCAATTTTGAGCCTCGGTCACACACACACAGCTCCCAGGAAAGTGTTGGTGTAGATGATGAACTTACTGTCATCTCCTACTGGTCCTGCAGAACACTGGGCTGGTGGGTCCCGTGCCAAGTCATTCAACTCCTGAGACAAATAAATGACAAGTCAGTCGATCAGGTCCTAAAGTATTTAAAGAATTCCCACAAACAATAACTTAAATAACAGGAAAAAAAAAGATATGAGTTATACTAATAACGCAAAACTCCTGGAAAAGATCTTAAATAGTCTGATCTCAATACTTAAGAATATTAAGCTGACTGAAACATCAATTTAACCTGCCTCTATATATAGGATGGGTGCTTAAATTCCTTTTTGCACAAAACTCTCGATTTGTTTATTTAAAAAGTTTGATACTTTAGGTGCTCATGGTTTCTGTAAAATGAGCTGAACGATTTAAATCTAACTTGGTGTAACGTGTTTAAACATTAAGCATATGAGCTTATAACTCGCTCAGATTGTGGCAGTGGCACCACCAGAAGGGCCACTGCGAGCTGCCGCTGCCACCATTTGAGCCAGCCATCTCTCCGCTCAAGTGGGCGACCTGGTGAGTTTTTATTTGAATTTCTATTGAATCTGAAAAGTTTAGCCTCACCAGGCTGTTGAATGAGAACTGTTTCTAATTGAAGTTTTACAGCACACAAAAACAAATTATTATGTAAAAATTACCCTACTTTGCCTGTACTTTATCCTCACTCTTTAAGTTGAAAATGCACCGGTTTAAGAAGAAAATTGCAGGCCCTCAAAATCAGTCACACTGACTATACAATAATTACTCTTTCATGTGCAACCGGCAATGTACAGTAAAACGCTGCTGCTCTGTCTGACTGTTATGTCCATTAAGGAGTTAATAAAATGTAAATAATAATAATAATAAAAAAAGGAAGACAATAATAGCTGGTTTTGTCTGACCAAAAGTCCAAAACCCAAACATACACAGAAGAGCAGCAAGCTGGACGACTTGCTTGAGAAATGGCTTTAAGAAATTAATTTTCTTGACTAAAAAGACAAAACATATCTCTATTTTAATTTCTAAATTAAAAAAATCTAATTTAGTGTATCTTCCCAAAATATTGAATTACTTTACTGCATTTTAAGATCATTAAAAAAAAAAAACACCCCAAAAAAAAATTTTATTCTGAAAGCCAGCCGCCGAAACCGGAAGTCTTATTGTTGGAACGCATCGCTCACTGCGCTACCGCTGGAAAGCCTTCCGCCGACATGCGCACGTCAGGGCAGTGCACGCTGGCGACGTAGTGCTGCAACTGGCCTCATTGTGGCTCCGAGCATGCGGCCTGGAGCCTGTGTTCACATGGTCCGGACGGAGCCAAAATGTCTACCCTGCACGTATTTTGCATGAGGTAAACTCCTGGGAACCTGTGCTAATATGGTTTACTACTACAGCTACAGTGTCATTTACATATTTACAGACAATGACACAGATACGGTTACACAGTTTTTAATCCGCTGGCAGTATTTATCGATGTAATTAAAATTTTAGGGGGTAGTGTCACACAGATGAACTACACTCGGGGTTTCTCTCAGCGCGGAGTGATACGACTACAAAGACTGGGCTCAAGATTGTGAGCACAGAGCACATTTGTAGGTATTCCGTGTGTAAATAGACCTGCTGTAACTACAGATTAAGTTTGGATATATTTTATGTGTTGAAATAGATTTTTTTTTAAACTCTTCTGAGAATGAATGTCACTGGGTGTTATAGTCCCGTATAGCATACAGTGCTCATTTGTTTTTCCATTTGTAGGTGTTAAGTCCCAGTGGCCAGCAGGTATAGGTAAAGGTGTACCGTGTTTAATGTACACAGTGGGCGGATCATAGCAACTGACAACTGGTAAACACGTCCAAAGCGAGACTTAAAAAGGCAACTTTATACAAAATAGACCTCTTAGTAACCTCAGCACATCTCAAAAGCCACGATACAAACTTTGCAGCAACTACTTTTCTTTACTACAGTGATGGAAAAGCAAACAGGTCGCTGTAATACACAATTTATTCTTCCCAAACTCATCAACACAACAACAAACATACTTTCCATTAAGAAACACGTTGAAATTGACATATTATGCCAAAGATAATTGCAAATCTGAACGTTAATTCAATGAGCTGTAATTTCCATTTAAACTCATCAGTGCACATTTGTTAAACAAACTTGAAACAGTAAGTAAACTATCCTAAATGAACATCAGTATTAATCTAGACAACTGCCATCCATCATTTCTGATCACTTCTATGGAGCGCAGTTGGGATTGGCAGAAAGGGATGAATTTACTCATTTCACAGCATATACAGCAGTCTTTTTAGGCTTGCAGTGTGGCATTTGTCACTGGTTGTTATGCGTTAGGCCTATTATAGTACAATAGGCCCTCTGTATACTAATAGGCTATACCTCTCTTCAGCATCACATAAGTCAGCCTAACAGTTAAGGTCTTAATGTTTTCATCCTTCATAATTACTCTCACTGGACGGTCGTCAGATGAAGCAACAGAAGCCAAAGTTGTGAAAACAGTCAAGCAGAGGGGCTTAGCACTTTTTAACAATTCACTAAAGATCTGATAGAAAATCTTTAAAGAATGTGCCTGTCCTGAAATCTTCACTATTGTCTTCATCTACACTTAATTTTATTTTATTAGAATAGCACTTGTAATGGGAACAGTAGTACGAGTATTAGTAGTATATTGTAGTGAAATTCTGAGATATAAGATTTGAAATAAACTTCCTTGCACAGACTTTATGAGACTGTCTGCAGCATTTAAAGAATATTTCCACAATATTTTAATTATCATTTAGACTCTTTAGTGTAATTTCCAACAAATACACAATTTATTTTTCATTATATAACTTTTAACAACATTTAAACAGCGTGTGGCTAAACTCCCTCCCTCATCTTCTTCCTACTGTTTTCTCCACCTACAAACACAAAAAAACTAAAATGTACACGACAATAAACTTGCACTCTTTTGATCTCAAATTATAAATAATCAATCAAATCATGAATGTAATTGTAAACGATGAATTATAAAAACACAAATTCATATACCGGTACACATATACCTACTGTAGACTGCAGGCCTTTTGAATTTAAATTGAAATAGTTGATAGTGTCTTTACCCCAGTGTTGTCCCTAATTGCTTAGAGACTGGAAACATGAATGGAAAAATTAACTTAATAATAATAATAATAATGATAATAATAAACTTTATTTATATAGCACCTTTCAAACCCGGGTTTACAAACCGCTTTACAGGATAAAAACAACAACAACAACAACAGGAGAGAGAAACAACCACCATCAGTAACAATATATAGAATAAGCAATAAGCACTGAACAACAGCAATAAATACAAAAAACATAATTACTTCTTTTTTTATAACGTTCAGAATTGTTTTAAAACTGTAACCACTCTGTAGTTCAGAGTTAAAATCTAAACTCATGTGACAAAAAGTTATTGTTCCTATAGACGTACCATAGCAGGAAACTCACAGGTAATGTAACAAACGGCTCTGTTCCATGTAGGTGTGTCACGCCACAGATGGACCCAGGAACAGACACACATATAAATGGAATGTAGCCTTAATTAGTGATCGTAATTACACCTGGGATTTTTCCTGCTGTGACACGTCAAAATATCTGCTGTAAAAATCAGGCCATCAGTAATCATCAGCTGTGTTGTGATTCTGACAGCGATGAACTAAAACTTATACTAATGTGGATTAAATTCCCCAAAACAACTGCATCTGCAACAGGAACCGTCTTTGGTTCTATGAAAAATATAATAGTAATTAAAAGAAATAAATGTCTGTGTTTGATAGTGAATCAGGAGATGAAGAAATGCAATACTATTCATCTGCTGTCCTCTTTATATAAACATGCAACAATCCCAGTGGGGATTTAATGACACCTTGACTGTGCTAAAAGTGGTAAAATACATTAACACTTAAGTTTATGACAAGGTACTTAAAAATCTATCGACCAATTTCCTGTCAGCCTGGGCTGTACTCTTGAGTTTAATGCCAACACAGCATGTGCAATTGTACATGCTAATAACAGCCTCCTATGTGTAGAATTTCTGTGTGAATTCATGTTAATATTTCAAATGATTTTGATGGCCCAGTTTTTTTTGTTTTTAGAAGAATTGGAGAGACACTACCAGATAAATGTGTGCAGTATGTTATGTTATGTTCAGCCCATTTGTCCTTGTGTCTGCTACAGTGTCTTTTTGTCAGTTTCAAGCATTTATTACAGACAGTAGAGAGATGCGACTGAGGGCAGTGTAGTGGTGCCTCGAGAAGTGGGTGTACTCTTATAAACACCCTACTCTTGCATACTTAGTTCACCCAAAGATGGGCTAGTTCTACTTCTGTACTCTCTTTTGAACTACATTGCCCTATGCTGCTGTGTCAATTTTGAATTTCTCCTAAGGGGGATCAATAAAGGAACATCTTATCTTACATTTAACCTTATAAGTAGTATTTACACATTGTCACTTAACTTCTGCTGCTTGGCTTTAGGGAGTACGGATCATTAAGAAATTAACATTAGGCACAGAAGAGGTTCGGATATAGCAGATTTTTTAATACTTCCCCACAGACGGGTGAGACAACCACATGAAATTATGCATTTTGAGTGAATTATTCCTTATTCCTTTCTCCATCCTCTAATGAAAATTGGAAAATGATGGTGTGTCCTCGCCATCCTAGGATGTTCTTTTCTTAATATACTCCACTATTAGGAGTTGCGAAAGTCAGAGATCTTCAAATCCTACACGTAGGGCTCAAAGTGCAGCTGAGGCTGATCCACACTATGCAGATGTGGAAGGTATCATTTGCTCTTTTAGAATAATGTCGGTTGAGTCAGAGATGTACTGACCGTGCCACTGTACAGAGACCCTCAGAGGTAACAACATGGCCGTTCCTTTGGGGCCACCTCCTGGACAGACTTCAAATTTTTTTTGCCTCAGTACTTCCACCAATTTTGTTCTGTGGTGTACTACAACCTCACTGCTTGCTCGGTGGACATAGTGTTGTTAACATTTTGTGTCCTCCAGGAAACAACATCCATTTATGTTACTATTAAAATAAAAATATCACATGTTCGATGCCCATTCTGTCCCACAGATCAATAAAACGTCCATTAGACCCAAAACACTACGCCTGCGTCGCCTTTAGCCTTTGCTTTGTTCCACGGTCTGTCTCATAAAAGAAAACACTTTCCCATAGGCCCACGTGATCTTCCGTCAAATAGCGTACTGTACAGTTTCACGCACACGTGCACGCAGCCACGCACAGACACGCACTCCACGGAGTCGTTGTTAAGGGGGAAAGCCCTGTAATCAATGCCTCCACATGATGGCAGTATGAGTCTGAGTGTGCGTATGTGTGTGTACGTTCCCGCGTGTGCGTGAATCTGCGTGGGAGTTCCTTCTTTCGCCATTCCGGGGTGTTGCCAGCTGCACAGCACCGCTTGCAGAGGCGTCCTGGAGAGGTAGAGCCTGCGCGTCTCTTCTCTCTCCAAGGCGTCTCTTCGCCCTCTAACCTCCAGAGTCCCCCCCTCCCCTCCGCCCCCCAACCCCACACACAACCCCCTCCCCTACTCCACCACCACCGCCGCCGCTACACCAGCACTCGCACAGCCCCGTCTAAAAAAAAACAAAAAAAACAACAAATTTGGGATCCAAGCATGCCACAACAGCAGCTAAGTATCCGCCTATCCTCCCCCAAAGTCACCGCAGGCGCAGCAGCAGGCTTCCCCCGTCCAAGAGAGCACGGAGACTCCACCGAGTGATGCCACTACTGCAGCAAGAAAAGCACCCAGCAACCGCGCATATTCTCGACGCCTGCCGGAGGACCCGACACCACAGTCTCGGCCCTTGACAGAAGAGAGCCCCCCCCTCGGCTCCGCTCCCGTCCCGACTCCAGGATGTCCGACAGCAACGCAAGTCCCACCGACCGGGTGATCAAATGTAGGCATGCCAAATCCTGCACGGCCAGTGAGAGCTACCCCTGTGCCAATAATTCTGCTGTAACTCATCGTTTATTTTCTTTCTGTTTGCATCCCTGTCGTTGCACCAGTGTGTCTTATTCGCACGTTTTTGTTTGTTTCTTTGTTTTCCAGTCCATCCTTTTTTTTTTTTATTACCATACCACCTTACAATAAAAGAAGCACCATTTGGCTGGCGAGTCACCATGCATGTGCCTCTGAACCTTTTAGGGGGAGGGAGGGGGTGGGGGTGAGGGGGGGGTATCCAGTACGATACGCCATAATCAGGGTCTTCCCTCGTTATTCTATTAGAATTCACCCCCTCACCGAGGCATTACCCCATTTTCTAACGGGGGGATGTCTCTCCCTCTATGTATAGCCAAAGCTATTGTGCGACACCCTGTGCTGCATGAGCTCCATTTACGCGCTCCACTCCTAGCGGTGGTTTCGTGTTACTGAATAATACCCTACAGAGACACAACCGAGAGAGTGATAGAGAGAGGAAAAAGCAGGGAGGGAGAGAGGGAGATGAGCATCTTGTTCCAATGAAACATCAAGCAGTGTGACGATGACAGCGAAAGGCAGACATAAAGGTAAATAAATGTTACGCATAACCTGCGATCTTTGGTGTTGTGTGGTTCTGCTGTGGATGTGGATGGTGTCACGGGATGATGTTGCATGTAAGCAACGATGTAAGGAGAGAGAGAGAGGGGGAGAGAGGGAGGGTAAGATGCTATGGGGGACTTGTCACTCGGAGACTCAAGGATTTTTGAGCTTTCTGTCTTAGTGTTTATATAGTGTGTCTGTGGCCGTGCGTAGTGGTGCCCCGGTGTTGGATGTGCCGACTGCCTCTATAGGTTGGCCTACATTTGCGATCTAGTTGTATTTTTCGCCGAATCTGAGCCAAAGTCAGGTAATCCAATGGTTTAAATGGCAGGTAGGCTGACAACTTTGCCAGGCCGAGTGCGCATCCTTGTACCTGTGAGTTTGGTTTTAATGATGTAGGCCTGTTAGATTAAATCAGGCTGATGTTTGCTGATGTGACGTTTAAAAAGCCACGAGTGCACAAGATGGATTTACGAGTCGTTTTAAGTCGACGTTTTCTCCGTAAGGCCTGAATGTCAGCGGGTGATTGTGCTTCTCCCGTGCGTATCGTTCTTCCACGTCTCCGTAAAGGTCTCCCTGGCTTCCCCCTCTTTATTTCCCCGAGTGTCAACTGAGAGACAAAATTGAGTTTAGGGATGCTGCGCTGCGTATCTGAGCCCATTGCCCGACGATGCTCATGCATACCGCCCTAATGGTGTAATTGCTTCACTGGATTATGGAATATTTAATGTGTTTATGAGAGTGTCTGTTTCAGCTTTACGCGTGGGCGGCTATAGGGGAGGCGAGGAGGGGCTCCGCTCGGGTTATGATCCGCGTAGCTTGCACAGATTGTCGTGCTTATCGGGTCACAACAAGGCTGTGTGCATGGCAGCGGCGCTTCCACGCACACAGCCTGTCACATGCGACGATGCCTGGCTGGCTGTCTCTCCCACTGGCTCCCCTTAATAAACTCTCAAGGTCTCTCTGCCGGAAGAAGCGGAGCTGACAGTTGGATGCGTCGCTCGGGCATGCCCCGGTATTCCGTGCGTGCGTCGTGCTCGGAAGGGGGTGGGGTGGGCTGGGGGCGCGGGGGCTTTTGCAGTTTTTGCACGTAGGTCTTCAAGACTGCATGTGCCTACAGTATGGCTGTGCCTGTATGTGTGTAACTACATGGATGCAGTTGTGCAGGGGCGGTACTAGGTAATGTGGATCCCCGGAGAAAAAAAAACGGACTGCAACCAGATTAACACCGAGCCCCCAATCCATCCATTAGTTATTTGCCTTTACCTCCAAATGAGTAGCTCCCCGCTCACATCTTCTTTTTACATCTTCATTTCTGTTTGCATGTGTGTTGTAGTGCAGCTGGGCCACCGGAGCTCAGCTGCCTCAACCCTGGGACAAACGAAGCGGCCTATATTCTCATGCATCATCCATCACACACAAACATAAATGCACCTTCTCTAACAAACATGCAGCAAAACAACACAGCAATTAATCAGTCAGGTAAGAATGATTTATTGTGCATGAAGCTGGAGAGGGATGGGGGCATCAGTCAAAGAGACGTCACTGCTGGCGGATGCACTGTGCCCGGTAGTTCCCCACGTTATGGATTTTAGTGATATTCAACGGAGAGAAGCGCACAGAGATGGAGCCAAAGGACAAAGCATACCGAGAGGAACGGGCAGAGAGGCAGAGAGTGTGGGGGCGAGGTGAGGGAGAGAGGGAAAGAGAGAATGTGACAAGGCCACGGAGGAGGTGAAGTAGCTGGAGCGAGAGAGAGGGAAGAGGGAGAAAGAGAAATACAAGGGAAGTAGTGTTTCACACTGTTGAGTGGCGGGACATCTTCGTCTGACTTAAACCAATGGACTCCTCACACTCTTTCCTGTCTGTCTGTCTGTCTGTCTGTGTGTGTGTGTGAGAGAGAGAGAGAGAGCGAGAGAGAGAGAGAAACAAGCAGGCTTCAGAGCCAAATTGTTAGAATGTGACTTTTACTTAAAAGTTAAGTTTAATAATTTTAAAGTAGTCTCCACCAAATGTTGCCCCTTTTTGAATATATATTTGTATAACAGAAGACTTACAAGATGGATCCTAATTCATCATTTGTAACACAGACAAAAGACATCCTGCTCATCAGTCTCTTTGTAGTGAACAGGAAGGAATCTTGGGTGACTCAATGTTATTTTCTAATAGACTGCCACATCATCTGCTACCAGAAAATACATACATACATGGAGGCTGGTACAGAAGCTCAGTTGGGCGTAATTTCATCTGTTTATTTTTCTAGAATACTGCGGTGAGGGTCAAAGCACGGTACATATAGACCCACTGAACAAGGTCAAAGCACGTGACTAGTGCTGAAAAGCTGAATTGACAAAGATGTTATCAATGACAATATTAAAGATCAATTCAACGTGTGAAATGTGTAACACTCCCTGTGGTTACATCTTCAGCAGCGGAGAAATAGAAAATACGGTGGAGTCTTGTGGGTGAACTTCTGTGAATTAACAGACACCAGCAACATGTGATACTTTCTAAACATGAAAACACAAACGTAATGCGCATTACTGATGATGTGTTCTAGTGCACAGCTTCTGCTTTATAGACCCTTTTTATGGCAGAAACACAGGTTTCTTTAATAACCTTATGATGGCTGCATTCCATATCATCTAGTTTTAGGGTCCTGCAGCGTGCATGGCTTACTTACAGAGCTTATTTGGTGTGAAAAGTGTCTATTAATAATGATAAATAAAAGTATCAAGCATTCTGTGGTTTCATACATTTGAGGACTAGCTGTTGTAAATCAAATACTTGAGACAAACAAGCATTACTTTGGGTTTGGGTAGCTAATGATGGACATACTGTATATTGTAATTTCTTACATTATTAAATGATTAGATGCTTGAAACCAGTTTACACATGGATACAAGTTGGCTTGATAAGATAAAATATCAAACATATTCAGTATATTGCAATCCAATAGCCCTTTCTCGTGGTGGATATTTTGACATGTCAAACACAGGTGTGACTAATAACATTAATCATAGCTGTGTTCCATTTAGCTGTTCCAGTGTCAGGGCCCTGGTAATGTGCATGCTGCCTCACTGTCATGGCCCGCTGGTTCACCTAAATGGAATAGCTGCATCATTAATGTTATTAGTTACACCTGCACTTCTCCTGGTGTGACAAGTCAAACTGCACAGTGTGAGAAAGGTCTATAGATCCTCAGAAATGACAATATTTGAATTAACACCTGTCTGTCAAAAAAGATACATAAAGATAGAATTTATTGCATCTGATATCACTTTCCCTTTTAATAAAACACTACACTCATTGAATGCTGACTGAGGCTTCTTAATGCAGTGCACATATAAACTAGGCCTAACTGCATGTTTTTACTGTTATCTTAGGTATGAAAATAAACATTTTAGTAATCCAACATTGGTGTTGGTTGATTTACTTCTGAAAACAAAACAAACAGGTTAAAGAAAAAAAGTATTTTCATTGTATTTTATGCTAATTTTGTTTGTCTCCATCTTTTAAACAGTTCAGGAGAGTTAAAGACTAACAAAGCATCCAGGTGCTACACTTTTAGGTTGTTTCCTGTCATATGATTATTATTATATAATATGATTACTCAGCATACTGTATAATCCTGCTGCCAAATGTCATATATCAGGTAGGGTGCCAATGAGCAAAAGCAGTTTGATAATTTCATGTATTCAAATAGCAAGCGTCGTTAAAATCCCTTGTTGAAAGAACAAATAACGTTTCAAGTTGCAAAGGTGTCATTTATCGGTTGTAAGCGGTGACCTTTTAAACCTATCATTGTATGTGTGAAGACCAAAGATGAGCGTAACCACATCCAATATGCACACATGCATGTCTGCATTCATGCATGCACAAACACACACACACACACACACACACACACACACACACACACACACCACCTCTGGCAAGGCTTGGGGCACACTGGGCATATTTCCCTTTAGTGTAACATGCTGTCCCATTCCCTCATGGTTCTGTCAGAGCCCTTTGTGGGTTGTGTGTGTGTGTGTGTGTGTGTGTGTGTGTGTGTGTGTGTGTGTGTGTGTGTGTGTGTGTGTGTGTGCATGTATGGGTGTGTGTTGGATTGTGGTGTTATCCTTGTGATCCAGGGGTCCCACCTTGACAGGGCTCTGTGGGTGTGCCCTGTGGGGAGGGTGGCAGGGCAAGGGCTATTTATAGAGAAGGTACTCCAGAGAGAGAGAGAGGGAGAGAGAGAGAGAGAGAAAGGGATTGTCTAATGAGGACAGGCTGTTAGGGGATGGGCCGTTGTTTCTGTTCGTGTGTGTCTGTGTGTGTGTGTGTGTGTCTGTGTACACAGATGGTCCTTCATGTGTGTAGTATGCATTAATT